ATATCCAAGGGTCTGAAGAATAATTGTGTTTCCAGTTTCACTGAAAATGATGTCCGAAAATGTCTCCAGTCACTTAATTCATCCCAATGTTTAGGACCTGATGGTATCCCAAAACTCCTTTTTAAAAAATGTGCTGATGTTTTATGTTATCCATTAACGAATATCTTTAACAGATCCTTCTCAACTAATGTCTTACCGAAAATGTGGAGAAAGATAAAGATAATCCCTATACCAAAGAAAGCTTCTGGTGATAAAAATGCGAAACTTAGACCCATTGCAATAACTTCACCTTTCCTTAAAATAATGGAAAAATTACTGATACAACCACTTCAACCTGCAATAAAAGAGCACTGTGATACATATTGGTTTGCTTACAAATGCAAAAGAAGCACATTAGATGCCGTTGCTGCTCTGCATCACAATATAGTGTTCGGGTTGGAAAAGGGTAAGAAGTATGTTAGATGCGCTTTCCTGGACTTTACTTCTGCTTTTGATTCTATTCCAAGACATCTCTTACTTAACAAGCTGATCAGCGTCGACACTGACAGCTGGATAACCAATTGGCTATGTTCCTACCTTTCTCGAAGAAAACAGTACACTGTATTTGAAGAAAAGTGTTCAACATCTCTACTGTCTAATGTAGGTGTGCCACAAGAAGCTGTTCTTTCACCTCTGCTCTTCTCTTTTTTTCTGCATTATCTGCCATCTTCCACAGAAAACACTTTTGTAAAATATGCGGACGACCTCACTGTATGTATGCCGATTTCTACCTCCTTACATCCCATAGAAATGAATAAGTTCTTATCTCGTATTGAAAGGTGGTCTGTTGGTAATGGTCTCTTACTCAATCCATCTAAATGTCAACCTGTTAACTTTAGCTTGAGACATGGACAGGACCTACAATCTATTTTGGGATAACATAATGCTTGTGCCATTGGAGAATCCTTAATAAACACAGTATCGAAGGTCAAATATCTTGGTGTCACTTTTTCCTCTGATCTTTCTTGGTCTTCTCACGTTTTACGCTTATCGAAAAAAGTTTACAGTTTGACATACTACATAAAGAGGCTGCATGCTTTTGGGACTACTCGCCATTTACTCTTACAATTTGTAAATTCCTGCATATTACCTATTATTCTATATTGTTCTCCATTATTCTTTCCTGGGTTTTTGAGAAAAGACTTTGCTGTTTTGCGTAGAGTGCTGAAGGCGGTTTGCAAGGTATGTGGTGAATCTTTTGAAGTCATTATTAATATGCTTGTGGATAGACATCTTAAGTGTTGCAAACTCTTGGCAGGTGTTATCTTATCAGATACTAACCATCCGCTTCATTCATATCTTTCTCCTTGTATATCTTCTGGTAGAACGAGACGTAAATACATTAAAATCCATGCACGCAAGCAAATCTATAAAAGTTCTGTAATACCTTACTTAGCAAATTTACTTTGTGACGAACAGGCTGTTAGAGTTGACCTAGTAAATAACCTGTATTCTTAAGCATGTCTCAAATTCGATAATTTGTATAAACTCAGATTTTCCTAAACCTTTTTTTTTATTTTATTTCTGTTCTGTTTTTTGTTTGTTTTGTTTCTTTTTTGGTAAAAAACTTGTTGAAATAACTCGTGCTGAGAATTCTATATTGTATCAGATTATAATATTGAATATTGCCATTAATAATAATAATAAGTTTATTCAAAATTATCAAATCAAAACTTGGTAATAATAACTAAATTCTTGAAGTTTGTAATATTAAGTTTCACTTGTTCTTTCATTATCATGGTTTTAAAGGAGATTTAGGTTTTTTCAAATTTGTTAAATGATAAGACCACTCAAATAATCGACCAAATTGTGAATAGTCTATAGACTAATAATTGCTTTTATGGTTTATTGTATGATATCTGATGAATATGAATTAATCTCCTCTTGATGTCAGATATTTATACAAACTATGGTGAGTTCTAACTCATTTTATATCCGTAACATCAGTTGTAACTTCAAACTACCTTAATTGCTTTACATCAACTTGAAATTTGGTTTGACGAAAATGTGACATAGGTTTATGCCCCCTGAAAGCCTTTCAATAACTGCCTAATAAACCATGTTTCTTAGTCACTTTTATAATTTTAAAAATAAGAGCAGTTTCCATTATGTATTTTTTTTTATCTTGTTTGAAATAAATCTTGTCAATTTCATCTCGTTGTAATAATATGATAAGACATTTTGGGGCAAAATTTTCAACGATAAATTGTCATTTATCTCCTATGACACTTAAAATCAGTAAAGTTTCAAGGATATTTCCGTTTAATCATCAACATAATCTGTTGTCAGAATAAGTAATTAACTTCTGTATAGCCTACCTAATCTTTATTTTTTAAATAAAATTTTTATGAAAATTTCTTGTTTTCAGGTAAAGATTTGATAAGTAAAGAATATGACACCAACTAAAAACTATGCATATAGCTTTTCAATGGTAGAAACTAAAATAAAACGAGTTAAAAATAAACGACAGATTAATCTTACAAAATCACAGACAAAAGTACACTTCGTAGATTTAACAAACATTTCATCAGAAAATTATCGATGTGCAACAGTAAGTTGATCAGCCTTCTTGAGCATTATATATGAGTCCCGCTGTTACTCCGATTACACTGCTGAAATATCGTTTACTTAAATGTCAACTATTTTCAATTTTCTGTGAACCTTTCGTAAACCTTTTACTACAAAACAAACAACGCACAATAAAAAAATGTTCACCTTCGAGTTTTTAATAACTATGTGTATTTCATAACACATGACATTTTCATATTGACATGTTTGATGAAACTTGATCAAGAAATCCGTGTTTGTTTTCACTTTTTAAGGCCATTTAAACACATGTTTCCATGTACATACCTTGATTTTCGAGGCACGTTTTTCTATCTAAGGTCTTTCAAATAAATCCAATAACTCACAAGTTTATACTTGTAAACAGAACATATTTTTCCAATAGACTCCATAATTATAATCTTATATCAGGTCCATGTTAACTCATGTATTCAAAATGTCTGATTCAGATAAGAACACGTTTGTTTATTAATTTCCGTTAACAGGGATAATAGTGATAAACAGACTTATTATTTAGTTACAGTAAATCAATTGTGATGAAACTTTTTGCTAAATAGCTGACGAGAAAGGATAGTTAGTGAGTGTTTGACTTTAACTATTATTAATAAACTGATTCAATTATGAAGGTGTTAAGAATTTCTATTAAAATAGAATTCTACTGAGATGGTGGAGAAGATTTGTAGCTCAGGTGGATGATTTTAATGTTGGTTTGTTCTCTGAGCTGGATGGTTTGGTCGTGGAGCTTTCATCGTTCTTCTGAACGACATCATCAGCACAAACTTCGGGTAGAAGTGAAGTGTTTGAAATTTCTCCACATGTGATTCACAGCTTGTCCTCTGCACCTCAATATTGATTGGTTCTTATTGACCTTAAATCTGTCATTGTTTATTTCTTTGTTTTGGTTGTATCTCCTATTGGTTTGATTTTTGTTCCTATGTTCCTGCATAATTTTTTTTGATTGGTTGGTAGATTGGATTGATGTCAATATGTTTGTTTATTGCTGATTGACCTGAGTGCCAAGCTTCTAAAAATTCTCTGGTATTTTTGGAATTGCCTCTGTCCAAAATCTGCACATTTTCCCAGTCGAATGTATGTCCGTAGTTGTCCACGTGTATTGATATGAGTGACGAAATGTCGTGGCGTTTGACTGCTAATTGGTGTTCATGTAGGCGAAGATGCAGGGGGCGTCCGCTTTGCCCAATATAGTGTTTGTTGCAGTTGGTACAATTTATCTTGTAGATATCTTGTATCTCCTAGATTTTCCTGTAGATTTTTATTTATTGCTGTAAAAACATATGCATTCATCAGGTATCACTTGTATGATAATTTATTTGCTCTTACAAAAAGTAGTATAGTCAGTGTGAATGTCTTGCAGTAGTGTTGCTTCTTCTCAGTTCTCTACTACATTACTAGAGCTAGCTCGTAGTAAAATTTAAACTTTTATCGGTCTCTCTGTCCTGATAGTGCCACAATAATCTCAAAACACTAATAATATTGAATCTTGTTAAACGATTATTATATTTTGTCTCACCGTTTATTTAAATTCAAACAGTGTATGTGTAACTGAGTAATAACCATTTTCTTATAATAATCGTGCTGAATAGGATGTTTCCGACGGCTAAACTAGTTTTGCTTTAGCGAACAAATCCTTACGTCATGCTAACTTCAACTGTATTTACCAGTGTAAATGTTTGCGCCGAGGTATTTACATTGTAAAATCAGAAGGGGGTTTCTTATTGTCATCTCAGAGCCTACTCGACAAACATCGAGATTAAAAGTTCAGCATATTTTTAACAATCCGTTTAGTCGTCACTTATTCAATAATGAATATAATTTTGATATTTTAAAATAGTTTAAAATAATCAGCACTTAAACAACTTCGAATTTATCATATTACAACAAGGCTCCTCTATTCAATTGTTGTATAACTGCTGTCGTTATTCTACTAATTCCGATTAATAAAGTAAACTATATAGACTGATTATAAATAATTATTACTATTGTTTCTAAGTCGTAATAAGCTGATGTGAGTTCACCAAATAAACGAATCCACCTTATACCGCTAAACTTATTATTCTCTTATTAGTTATATTTATCATTTTGAAAATTTACATAAAGTACACAAAGAATGTTAAACCAATATTGTGGAAGTGTTGTTCTTCATCGACAACAATTATCCATTTTAAGACCTATAAACTTACTTTAATCAATGTTCAAACCATATTCTTCTCTTATGTAATATATATTTACATTTATAAACGATACCCTATTTCTTTCACTGACATTTTAAGAAGGCTTCAGTGATTTTCTTCTGAATAATATATTCTCCATTAAGTTTTACTTTGAATTTATATTTTCTGATAATCTCATCATATTACTTAAATTTATACGTATAGAAACACCTATAGTTCAGCAGCCTACAGGTCTGGCATCCACTGTGTTCTATGGCCCTCAACCTGTCTCTTCATCATGTGATATTTGCATGAATAAGATTACTACAATAGTTCACTACCGTAAAGGAGCATGTACTTGGATGGCTTGTACTGGAATAGCATTACTTGGGTAAGTTTTTATAAGCTTAGTGGACTATTAAAATTTACTAAAACGAATAACTTTCTTTGTTTCTGCAAATATCGCAGTGTATACTTCAATACCCTATATAATTATGTACGGTTGTTTCAAATAACGTAACCGAGTTTTGTGGAATACAAATACTACAGTTAACTGATTGTTTTAAATAAATCGTATTTTTCACGTTTCATTCCAAAGTAATCACTCATCATTAACGTATAAGTAAATATGATATTTCAAACAAATGACCAGTTATAAGAAATTTGTCACTTAATGAAACATTCTTGAAATTTACTGCCTAAATTTATTAAGATTTTGAGACTTCTAAGTTGAAAATATTTATTATGCATAGTTTCATGTTAATTTACTTGTATATAATCTATTAGAAAACAACTGGCTTTAAATTCATGAGAATCATTATAACGTTTACTGATTGGTGGATGTCCGAAGGCAACCTCCGAAAAGCCTTAAAATAAGCTTTCAAATAAGTTGGTATTAGTTAGCCAGGAAGATCGGCCATAAACAGGGAATCGCTCAATACTCTCCATTTTTTTTATCTATCTGGTGATTCTTCCAGAGCATATGATTGTGTAGTCTATGATGCCTTTTATATATAATGTTCAAATTATTAGCCAAAACACACTGCATACAGTATCGCTTTATCATTTAAGATTTTCTGCACAATTTTTTAAGTATATGGAAATATCAAGAAGATGATAGCAATAAAATCTCATGTAAATATTCGTTGTATTTTATGGAAATAAAAAGATATATATACAAGAGAAAATTTTCAATTTGAGGTGGTGGAGAAGATTTGTAGCTCAGGTGGATGATTTTGATGGAGTTTTGTTCTCTGAGCTGGATGGTTTGGTCGTGGAGCTTTCATCGTCCTTCTGAACAACATCATCAGCACAAACTTCGGGTAGAAGTGAAGTGTTTGAATTTCTCCACATGTGGTTCACAGCTTGTCCTGTTCACCTCAATATTGATTGGTTCTTGTTGACATTAAGGTGCACAGGACAAGCTGTGAACCACTTGTGGAGAAATTCAAACACTTCACTTCTACCCCAAGTTTGTGCCGATGATGTTGTTCAGAAGGACGATGAAAGCTCCACGACCAAACCATCCAGCTCAGAGAACAAAACTCCATCAAAACTTTCAATTTGAATGTATAATGATTTAAAATTATAATTCACAACTTTCCTAAATATTTATTAAATTAATTATTTTTTACTCATTAATTATTCAGTAAATTATTGGTTTTATAACTTCACAATAACAATAATATATGACAATAATAATTTATATTATTCTGTATTTGATCCATGTATTATTTCTCTTTAAAAATGTATACTATGATTGTCTATTAAATTCATACATTCTTGTTTTTGCGTCCTATCATCCTTAACTTTATACTATTCTTTAAATAAATAGTATAAGACAATAGACTTTAACCTTTACTGACTACACTGCGATTAACTGATACTGGTTAATTTATAAACTAAGAACTATAGAGATTAAATAGGAATAATATATTTTTAAAATCTCAGCGAATGAATTTGAAGTAAATCCAACATTTTGCTTAGCAATCTAGTCCAAGCCTTTTCAAATTCATTTGCTGATATTATTCCTATTTAATGTTTTACAAACAACTCGACGCCTAAATACTGTGAAACTATTCACTCTAATTTAGACGAAAGTTCTTATATAAGAACTATAGATTTCTTTAATGAAATAACATAAGAAGCATAGATACAAAATTTAATAATCAGATAGCTATTTATTAATGATAGCATTGTCATGTTAATAGTTAAGGAAACAAACAACAACAAAATAAGTATCGAAAATATTCTGCTAAAACATGATACATTTTTCTTGCACTATTCATATGTTATAAGATTATTTTAAATTATAAGAATAGATGGATAGTGGCTAGCAGTGGAATCCAGTTTGACGCGCATTTCGTCCTATTTGGGACTCGTCAGCTGGATGTACCTGCATCTCAGAGTTGATGTTCACTGTGGTACGCGAACCCAGTACCTTTCGCTTCAAACGAGTCCCAAATACAACGAAACGCGCATCCTGGATTCCAATGCTGGCTACTATCCATCTTTGCTTATACTGCTTGTGAAATAAGGCTATATCGAAGCGATACGCACAGTCAATTAGAGACTGACCAATTGCAGTCCTGAACATCAATGGGAATATTCAAACAAACAATACTAAGTGAATTTATTTTAAATTATGATTAAAAGATGAGACATGTAATAAAATATAATTTTTTCTGTATGTTTACAGCGGTATATTCGGATGCTGTTTAATACCATTTTATGTAAATTCATGCAAAGATGCTTATCACAGCTGTCCAGAATGTGGAACATTACTTGGAGTTTATAAACGTATCTAAATTTTATCACCGATTGCTACTTCTTTTTTTCACAAAAAGTTGTTTTCTTTCTTACCCAATTGTTTTAATCTACTAAGCTTTTTGTATGAAATATAAGTGAAAATAAAAGCATACTAAGTTATCCTGTATTGTTTTTATTGAATGTTCATCTTAATTTCTCAACTTTTATAATTTCTGTATTATTCACATTACTCGATATTGTCTGTATTCCCGAAACAACTTCCATATATTTAAATATACTTCATAATTCCACGTTAATGTATACAAGTAAGAAAACTTTTTTTCTGTCCTATTTTATTTAACCTACTACAATAATGTAATCTGTTTTGATATTATCAATTTGAACTGATTCATATACGACGGATGTGATAAGACTTTTCATTATTTTTTTTGTATTATCAGTTTCTTCAGTTGCTATTTTATGACTTTCAACTAACTATTTCCATAATGCGTATTAACTAATTATTACATCTATCATTTTGGATATATTTTTAAAGAAAAAGCTATTGCATGGAATATTTCATATATATATATATATATATATATATATATATATATATATATATATGCAAGTTGGATTTCTTTTCAAAAGGCAAACCGTATGTACATCAGCCGACATATTATCATTGTTTACCTTGTTTTTGTCGAAATAAATTTACATATTTCTTAGATGTTTATTTTGACAGATTACCTTTTCTACGTAACACATATTGCTGGATATTATATTATTGTTCTGTCTTGTTGACTCTTTAAATGTACATAAAAAATAACAACATGTTTTACTACTCAATTTATTACAGAAATAAGTAATATTTATGTGAAAACTTTTATGATTGTTTTTATTTGTACCTTATGAATGCGAATAAAAAGAATACTTCAAATAGAATTAATTTTCTTCACTTCATTCATTCTTATAATCCAATAAACCTTTTATCAACCTGTCATTTGATTAATTCATTTGTTGGTTAAGTTGCCTGGTATTACACTTAAATAGCTATCCCTGCAGGATTAGCAATATTAGGTATATTACCAATCACTTTAATCAATGAATGAATGAACATCTCCCAGCTCGGTCTGGAAAGGGCTACATAGAGACTATTCTCATACCTATATTGGCATTGGCCATTTGATAAATAAAATTGTTTCAAGTGGTCGATCGTATATCTTTGTCGTTTCTCAACGATGTCTGATCTTGTCTGCAACATATAGCAGAAACTATAGGGAACTGAACCTTTAACCCTAGTTTATGTGTTCGTAAGAAATACGAGACAATCCTGTAATTTCCTTGATCGTATAGTCTTCCTCATATCAATTTGTACGTCTCTACCTATTATGTATAGTTATGCAATCTTTTACACTGTGGTCAATGATTCATGAGTTATTCTGAAGTTTCTATTTTTGTTATATATACTGTATGTATACTACAGTAAAGCCTGATGAAGATCCAACTGTAAACAATGTTTTTCACTTATATATGTTGTTCTAATTTACAATTTAGAAATTTTTAACACTAAAAAAAATGCTAAAAACTCACTTGTAAATAAGTTATCAAAAACAAACAACTTGTATCAAACCAATCGTCGTCAATTTCTATAATAAAAGGTCTTCACAAGCCAACCCCTATTATTTCAAACAAAAACTTTACTAATTAAAAAAAAAATTAAAACTATGGTTTTTACGTTCCAGTTGCATTCTGTTCCTTATTTTTTTTGTTGAATTAATAATTAAAAATAAAACATTCTCGGCATAACATTGTGAACTAAATGTTGTCATTAAATCAATCACTTATCCAATGGTTGTATAGTATATGGTGTAAACTACAATACTTAATAAAGAATTTATGAATAATAGTAATTTAAAAAAAATAAATTTCTGGACTTATATTTTTTTATAAAACAGGAGGTATTTCAACCTACGAGAATAAACAAGTTTACTGAAATAGCAAGAAAATCAGAATCCTGTTTTATTCACAAAATGAAGCGTTTTGCAGCCATAAAAGTTCTATAAGTAATACACTTATTTCAAGAATTAAGGTTTGTAAATGTTTCTGTTCAAATTTACATTTAAAAAGACAGTGTACATACTGTTATATCTCGAAGAGAACTATGAGTGGTAACTTCTGAGGACTGTTTATTGGCCAATACGATATGTATATTTCCTATTCTATAATTGATAAGTAACTAAAGTATCCGTATTATTGTCCCTCTTATGATAAGCTTTATTTTGACCTACAGACTATTATTATACGATTTATCATTCTTGAGTTATCCCTAGTCCCCCTATTCACAGTCACATTTAACCAAATTTTGTACACATGTTATTTTCTATTTTATGGTATGATGTCAGTTTGTTCGGTATATAAACCCAGTATGTTTGAGAATAACTATTCATATTGCAGTGGCTGTTATTGGTGTTCTGGACTTAACCGGCTGGGCTAGGCAGATAGCAGGACTGATAAGTACTCAAGACTGCTCATACGGCTTTTGTGTATCATTGCTCTGATCGATAATTCACTCCTCTCTAATTGGCGATCTTATATCACTCATGTCTACAAACAGGGCGAGCCCTCACTCAATACAACATGTACATCCAACGATTTAATGAGATAAGATTAAAGCTTAAGAAAGCTATCAAACTAAAAAGTTACTACTTATCTTAGTATTCACTATTACTCCTTACAATAAATAAATTCAAAATTTCATAATGTTATAGCTTACTTCCACTACAAAATAATGTGTTATCTCAGGTGAATATAAAGGATGAAGCATTTGGAGAACTATGTCGTATAAGATAATTAATAGCTAACCTATTATATATATATATATATATATATATATATATATATGAATAAAGCGTATGAAATCTACTAAACATTGCATAAGAATTTATCCTACTTTCTATCTATTAAGAAGTTAATGATTATGATTTCATAGACAATCTTTTCTATTTCATTGTCGAACAATGAAATGAAACATTTATTGATATTATTATTACTAATTCAATTAACTAAAGTATCTAAACATTGTTATTGTTTTGATTCAGTATATGTAATATTCCAAAAATAATTCATTTTACTTTTTCAAAACTTAATACATCACTTTAATACACTGTTGTTTTAATTGATCATTTGGGCGGTGACTACGTTCAAGTTTCTTGTATACATAATTATATGCATAGTATTTTTTTTATTTATAAAAAGAACTTAAGTGTAGTTGAAACTATTATTGATAATTTTAAGTATAGTTTGTGAACAAATTTTGTGCTGTCTTAATTAGGTATCAAATGTCAGTTAAAACAGAAATGGATTTATGAATGTTCGTTGCCAAACGTATCATGAAGTTCGGTAGTTATGAAAGAAGTTTATTTGATGTTATAAGTATTTGTTCATACATTTGTCCTTAAACAGTTCATTATCTGAGATATTTACTGACTTCGTTAAGAGTTTACTATGGAGAAGTTATTCGATTTGTAACAATTCGGCACAGTATTCACACTCAACACCATCTGGATTTATTCTAAACGCTTATGAAATAGAATGTTGTGGATAGCGTAGTACACAAGCGTGTACTTAATTGGGTGGTTTTAAAACACCAGTCACTTAATCGGTATGTTTTTAACGAGAAATTCATAATGGCAACAGTGTATTTTTAAATTTTTGCAATTTGTCATGCTCATTTACTTGGCCGACAATGGTATGATTATATTTAAATGAAAGTTTCAAAGTTATGCACCTAAATCATTTTCATATCATTATGTAACTTGATGGACAGTTGTATAAACTCATTTATATGAAACTTGATTGCATTACATCACGTTTTTCTTCTACCTCACGATACGACTTTACACGCAAATGTCATTCATTACTCAGAGTCTGCTTAGGTACTTTACTAATTATTAACAGTAAATTGGGTATGTAAAAGCTTTAGATGTTTTTTTTAGCCTCAGTTAAAGTTTAAGCAACAAATGATTATCAGATTCTTTGAACGTAATGGAATTTTCTTATCAAATGAAATGCATTGTGATTGTACCAGTTATAACTGACGTTTTTAATATTCTCAATTAAAAAAAATTCCACCTACAATCCACGGTGTTATATCATTTTCTTTTCCTTTGTAACCTGTTATAAAATGTCATTTACTCTCGTTAGTATAAACGTCAAATAACTATATGAATCGATTGTTTCACTAAGTTACTCTGTATGGGTCAGTATAATCAGCTATACATTTATATGTATATATATTTCTCATTTCTACAGTTTCATTGTATTCAGTGACTACATGATTATGGTATGTTGAATCCATAGTTGATTAAAGTTCTAGGGACTACTTAAAAGTCTATCTCAGTTTAGACTTACTGATTATTAGGTTGCTGAACACACTAGATAATTCACTTAAATGTTATTTTAATAATTACCAGAAAATGAATTTTGTTATGCAAATTATATTATGAATTAGTTCTGAAAACAACTTATTTTCACACTTGTCGTCGAATGGATAATAACACAATCAGAACATCGATTTCATAACAAAGCATAAATTTTTTTATTGGGTTATAGATAAGTCAATAATCATTAGTTTTATAGTCAAGATATTCTACTGATCATCAAACATTAATTTCATTACTTCAACAACAAATTTCTGAAAGCAAATCAATATTATCTAAGTTACTTTCAAACAAAATTCGTTTCGGCTTAATACATTTTAAATTGTTTATAAGTCAGTTTCTGTTTATTGTGTACTTGCTTTGATAATTTTGCCTCACCTATTTTGAATCTAACTTATAATCTATGAATTGAGAAATAAAAATTTTAATGAATTTGTTTTAATTTCTTATAGTGAGCAATTATTGTGTTAAAAAGAAAAAGAAATTATAATACATTACTATCGTCAAGTCCAAATGGTATATCATGTTTTAGATCTATTAAGTGTAATAGTCTTAGCTGGTAATAAATTCACATCTCAATTTACAATTGGTTGAAACTATTCCGCTTTACTTCTGAGATATTTAATGAACAAAAAGTTTTAGCCGTCAAAATCTGAATACGTACTTTTATTAGCGGGGGAATAAATGATTGAATATACTAACTAATACTAAAAAGATATGCTTATCAAAACGACTGTATTTTTTGAGAATATCTAAATACATTTACGCGTAAGCCAAGAACTAGAGATAATATTCACAGAATGAAAATCTTCACCTAAAAGTTGATCACTCTCATACTGAAAATAAACGAGGTAATGTTCTAGGATACGTAGAAAAGGAATAAATAAAAATTAAACTATAGACTTAATACAAGACTTTGGTTGTTTATTTATAAATGATGTAAATTTTTTAATTGAGATATTAATTAGCTGCTGCTTCTTTCTTTCTTTATAATATGAAACAAATGTACCCCATTACATGATATTTATCCTTTCAAAAAAATTGTCGCTTTGGTTGTTAGAAGGTGCATCGACCTCATGACTTCCGAAGGGACTCAGCTTTCATCATGAGACGTCTTAATTATTCCTTCTACTCCCAGGGCAGAGTCTAAATGGTTTGGATAATTTTTCTGGTTAGCATTTTTCTAGCAAGTCGGTTTTCTACGGGATGGGGTCGCTTACCCTATGCCCAACCCTCCTCCTTTATCCGGGCTTGGGATCGGCAGTAACCCCCAGAGGAGCTTCAGGCGGAGTTATGTTGATCCTTTACAGTTTACTATTTTCACTTCTAAAATAACAGATGATGAAACTAAAATTTATTTGAAAATCTAACTAATATTCTGCATCGATTTACAGTAATACCCTTAAATTTGGTCACCATTCAAGATGACATTTTTTTAGTTGACTAATGTGGTTATTATTTTAAATCTTTATGTAGTGAGTAATCTTACTGTGGATTTATTGGTTTAATATATATCGAGAAATAAACTGTTTTGTAGAATTTCAGTCATATCCCGGTACTTACAACATGAAGTGTTTCTCTTCCTCAAGATAGTCAGTTAAGTTATTTCAAGATTATTTGTCTGTACTTTCATAATAAATACATCTTTTGTTATATTCCAATGATTAGAAACATTGTATTTCTTACGTTTCTGCTCATTAGGATATAACAAAAAATATATTTATTATTAATTCTTTACTCAATGCTCAATTTATTTGAAACTGTTTCGTCTGCACATTTGTTCAAATGTAATATCCTTTCCGACAATTATCTTATTTTGCGTAATCTGTCTTCAGAGTATCGTATGTGATGTACTCTAAGACAGAAACAGTCTGATTCTGCCACATGTACAGTAGCTTCAAAAACACCTGTAGTAGAACTCGCACAGCATTATCAAGATTAACTGGTTCTAAAAATTACAAACAATTTACTTGCATATCTTCAGATGAGTTGAGATGAACATTTAGCGGTAAACAATTTTCGAACATAGCTTCAATAGACTAAACTGGGTAGAGCTGCATAGTCAAAAAACTGATTCTATCGGATGTTTCACTTTGCTTGCTGGGGTGCTGATATAGACCGTAGTAAATCTCTGTTAACATACAACTACATGACCTGTTTTAACCCTTGAACAGATAGATTATTCTCTTCTTTTTATCTGTCCTATCAGCTTTATGTTTGACTTTACCGCTTACTCACGCACAGCCTTGAGAATGCTTTATGAATGTGTATAATTTAGCTCGTATGTGTCTGCATACTTATTTGCACCTCTTTCACGATTATAAACACTGTGCCCTCTTTACTCACTCGGCTGGCTATTTCTGCCATTCCAGTTCACACGCATTTGTCTTTGTCTCTTACCGTTCGTCTGGATTATCGGATTTCTGAAATGTGTTCCTGAAATACTTTTTGTATTAGACTTCTCATATTTACGCTGTTATTAACGGTATACGTTGATAAAATATATACAAAGTAAGTAATAGATATATTTCATTAATATCAGTATCATTTATTCATATGAAGTCAGATCACGGGTCTAGAACACTTCACTCACAGCCAGTCAGACCTTTTCGGTCATGTTTGTATAGATGTATGACCTCGTCCTGAACAGTATTAAGTTCATCTTTGAATAGCATCGGTTTTCCATGATAAAACTTCTAATTGCCATTGTCTTTTTGACATGTCGCCTTAAGCCAGTTAACTAACTTATTGATACTATAGGACAATTTCAGGACATTAATAGCGTCTAGTGAGGATATTCTAGATACTGAAGTAAAATATTCCCAACAAATTTGACTTTTTTATGATAATTCATTCCCAAATAATAGTAATTCTCGCAAAAGGTATTCTCATTTACAGGGAAGACTAAATTATTATAAGTAATGCTACAGTAATAAGTGTAGCTTAATAGGTAGTTCGAATGATCTGTTATAACCTATATGTACTTTTCTTCAAAAATACAAACACTAGTTTGTGCATAAATTTCAACGAAAATTCAAAAAACATGACGAATATTGCAGTGGACCTGGAGCGCATAGTTTGATGATCGGTTGTATGATTAATGCACTAGGTGAAAATTAATGAATTATGTTATTCAAAGATGACTGATAATACTGTCGAATCTCCATAATTTTCAAATAAAGGAGCCGTCTATTACATAACTACATCACTTGAATTTTTTTTGTATCCAGTTTTCAAGTGGCTTTTATGTCAGACGTTAAGTTAAACAGACTTCTAATAGAACTTCAGTTTCATCAACCACGTTTCATATGTTATCCCAACAGCATAAATAAAGGGAGAATCTCTACCGAAATTAGAATGTTAAGTCTATCAGTATATGGACACTTACCCCACTACATTTTCAAATTAATAACACATCAACGCCATAAAAGAGCAGTAAGATAACTCAACATCAGCTTTTCTTTAAAAACGATGTTTGATAAGCACAAAACCGTGACTGATTCAATCTGTAGATATTCACTGGGGCCTGTGTTTTTGATTATCTGATCTGTGGAACTCGAAGTTCATAATATTGTAACATGCCAATACGCAAGAAAGATGTGGCAAATAGCTAACACATTAATGCACAATTAAATATTTTATGTTGTGTTCAAATGTATCGTTACAATACAATTTCGTACTGCGTACTTCAAATTTGAGACGTTTCTTGTGTCTAGTTGAAGTTTTAGACTTATTGGAATTAGTAGCATTTCGTCAGCTTATTTTAAGTTCATATCTGGGTTCGTAGTAAACATGGATTCAAGTAACTTGAGGAAATTGCCCATCAACAAGTCACCGCGATAAATGTAAGATTAGTTAGTTTTGGTGCTTGGTATTTCTCACATAACTTCAAGGAAGATATCGTTTCAGCTCGTTTTATTACTGCTATTAGTGAAAAAGCCTATGTTTTATTAGAGAATCTTGCTCATCCTTACAAACTTCCGTTCAACAAACCGAAGAGATTACTTATCCATCATTTTCAAAACATGAATAAGCAAAGTCAACCAATTTGAAATAAGCCAACAGAAAACTACTAATCCCAATAAGTACAAAACTCAGACACAAGAAATGTCTCAATTTTGAAGTATGCAGTATGAAATTGTATTGTTATGATACATTTGAACACAACATAAAATACTTAAATAGTACAGCAAATGTATTAGTTATTCACCACACACGCCACACGTCGACTGTCTGTTTATGTGTCTATAAGAAGGTAGTTAACAGCTATAACGTTACGCGAATTTTGGTAATTAAGCAACACATTAGGGTGTTCAAACATAGGTCTATCAAGATACTGCAATAAACTTCTTAAAATATATGGGTTTTCTGTATATAATCATATATGCTGTGCAATTTACTGCGTACTCAGTTATAATTACAATATTGTAGTGTCGGTTGCTATGTTAGGCCCATACAGCTTTTTCTAGCTTCCGGACAAGTCAATTTATTCATCCTTCTTGAGTCACATCTTGACCTTGTCAATTATTCGCTTATTAACCTTGACTGTTTTTAGATGAGCATATGTGTGTGCACATCTTATCCTACTCACCACATGTTTGTAGCTTATTTTTATCCGGCTATAAATGTTGATTAACACTTGATTAAATCGAGTCGACTCACTCTCTTTCTCCAGTGTGCGTCATTTTGTGTTGCTTCGCTTTCCGACCAACAATTGTACGAAATACACGTATTCGAAACTCATTCTCGTATTTGACCTATTTAATTCTGTTTCACTTTAACACAAGTCGATGATTATATATGCGAATAGTCATGATGCATATTTCGAAAGCAGTTATTTGATAGCTATCAGAAACGATCCAAATGATATAGAGCCATTAAAGTGGTGAGCCCGTCGATAACATTATCGTCCGATGTAATTGACGTCAAAATGAATGGTCCCACTGAAATATAATACTTACACATACGATCACAATGTTATTCATTACAGGAGTACTGGTCAATTCCTGGCTACTGAAGAATGTATTAGGCAAATTTGAAAAATTAACTAGCCCATATATTGGATCCAATACTAAAACTTCTACTTGTTATAGTCAGCATTATGATAAAGACAATAATGTAATTATGTAAGTCCTTGAGGACTGTATAAAATGTTGTAAAGTTAGTAGCGTAACTAGGAAATGTACTAAATATGATCAAACTGAAACCGACTTCCTCATACGTATTAGTGGAACTTATTAGGATCAGTAGAAATTCCTTGAGGTCTAGCCATATTATACATTTGGCTGAATGTCGGCATACCTTAGAATATTAATTACTGCATGTTGAGTGGCGAAATAAATGGCTTCAACTTCAACCACAGTATTGGAGAAAACCGAGTGCACCATGGTAAACTAAGAAGCCTAAATAAGATGTTCGAGGCGTAAAATGTTGTTCGTTCTCTAATTTTCTTTGGAGGCATGAAAGCTTTATCACCATGTTGTGGTAGGTTAGCTTGAGAAATCACCTCAAAACGTGATCTTGATAAGTGTCCATATCGTTTTTGTTAACCTTAAGTGATGAGTCTCAACATTGTTGAAATATATAAACGTACTCAATGAACAATGTATGAGTAGTATACAAGGCTCGACACATATGATACAAATGTTTCTCTTCATCTACACTTTGCCTCGGAAAGCATGTGCATTTCATTGTACTAAATGCTAAGGTTGTGGCGAAATCTATCTCATCAAGTTTGTGTGTAAACCTATCATTCATTGCACAATCTCTGATAACATGCTATTAGTTACAGTTACGACATGCTTTCTATGTTTGCCACCTCTAATAGCATATTTGACACTGGGGAAAAACTATATGTTACTGATGATTCGTTTCAGGACTTCAGTATAGGTACAGGAGGTATCAAGACTATGATTTGAATAAAACACCTAAAATCAACAAAATCTACTGTTGTGGTTACATCTATTATTATTTCTGTCCCTAGTAATGTAAGAACATTTATCCTCAGACGCTTCAGTTTACAGCAGTCAGGCGAAAATGCTTAGTTATTGAATTGTGAATCTTCAAAAACAACTATGGAGCATCCATACCTAGACCACAGTGCTACAAGTATGAATTTCGCTACTGAGTACAAGAGGCTAATAAAATAGGTTACTCAAAGACTTATGAATCACCAATATGGGAGACCTTTGTCGATGATTGCAGTTCACTCGAGTCAGAAATAAACAGTGTGACTTCTTAGTTTACGTAAACGTGAAACGTCGCAAGTACAACACAAAGTGGATTGCTTTATCGTTTTATCTAAGCAATATGGTAAACTTGACGACTGAACAAAGGAAACATGACGTTATAGAAGTGTGTTGTTTAAAATAGATTGGATAAACAGTGTGCCATCCTTATCGGATAAACGAATTCAAGGGGTTCTATTGGTTGATATGTGTTGTCTATCCAAGAAGTAAGTATCAGCGAGCAAACGCTAGCAATTACAGAGGCAAATTTATAGTCCAATTGTATAAGGGCACAGCAAGACAAAGCGAGAGCTAATAATAGGATTTGGGTGCATACATATGTAGGGAGGGGGATGAATCATCGAATGATATTTAAGCAATCAGCGTTTTGGCTAGAGTCTGTCATGTGCTCTAGTGATCATAACAGTACAAATAAATGTGCAGATTGTCACTATCCAAATGACAATGTCTCTTAAGTAAGTTAATAAAAGGGTTTAACCAGAATTAACCATAATCGAAGTTCATTGTAGGATAGTTGCTATAAGCTGACTCAGGAAGGCTTTTGTTCTCTGAACTTGGTGATTTAGCTGTGAAGCTGTCATTATTCTTCAGAACAACATTATCAGCACAAACTTTAGAGAGAAATGATGTGTTAAAATTTCTCAACATATGACTCACAGATTCTGTCGAAATCGATCTCGATAGGTATTGTTAAGCTTTAAATTGTCATTATCTATCAATTTATTTTGTCTGCACCTCCCTTCGATTTGTTTCTCGCACTCATATTTGTTCACGATTTTTCTGATTGGTTGATAGGTTGGATAGATCTCGATGTATTTGATGATTGCTCACTGTGTTTTGTGAGAATTAAGAACAAGTGGGTGGTAACTCTTAGGGAGTTGTAAGTTCATGTCGGAACACACTCGTAAGTGCGTAAGGAAAATAAACTGGCACACATGAGTTTTGTCCACATGCGATAGCATAAGAAAACGTTTTGCACAACACAATGATTCTTTTTTCGGACAATAAATAAATGATATATATGTGCATACCAGAAAATATATTGTTTGCTTTTGGTTAAAGTGAACAGGATGAAAATTAACTTTACTGGGGTCCCCTGAAAAAGCAGTTTAAGACGGTCAATGCTGAATGACGTTATCATTAGTTCCTTTTTATCGATGAAATGGTGTTTAGGTTCACTCTGAAGGAATTTAAAGAGTCCTTCATACGCCATTTCGAGAGGTCACGGAAGTGAGTCGCCCAGCACCGAAAGTGTGCATTATATCGTAGGACAAGTCGAATGCGAACATCAAATTATTGTGGTTGAGTGGAAATAGGTTTGACTGAACATATTGCGTTTGTAAGCCGTATTGTGTACGAGTACAGATCCACATTCATTGAAGAAGACGAGGAATCCAAGAATCCTCCTGAAATTCAGATTGTCGTTCCGTAAACGAGTTCGGTTACAGTGTATACAATGTCAGCTTTCACTGCATTGAGTATACCGAGTAAAACGAGTGGAGGAGCCCTTGTTCACTGTGAAACATGTCCAGCTGCAAGTGAAGCTCTTAGCTGTCGGCGAAATCGTTCCATCAACCCCTTTGCTTGTGGGTGGTAGGCGGTCGTTCGTAATCGTGTGATTCCCAGTAGTGTAGTCAGACAACGGGAAATTCCAGGTTCAAACTAATGTTTACGGTCTGTAGTGATAGTTGAAGTACAGTTGAAGTTTGCTACCCACCGTTTGAAGAAGGTACGAGCCAGTAGCAACGTCCTTGATGGGTACTGCTGCCAGCCATCGAGTGAAACGGTCTACACAAGTTAAGAAATGAGAGTATCCATTCAAATCTGGTAGGCGTCCTACCAAATCTAGACGAACATAGTCGAAACAGCCATAGGAGTTTTTAATGATCCTAAATTACATTTGCTGTGTCTAATCACCTTAGTTTTCTTGCACCATATACATGAGCATGCTCACTCCCTCACGTCTTTGTTCAAACCAGGTCAACGAAATAATTTTCTGGCGAGTTTGACAGTTGTTTGAACATCTGGATGGGATTGATTATAATTCCTTGAAAAAGCTTGGACCAGATTGCCAGGCGAAACGTTGGATTTACTACAAATTCATTCGCTGAGATTTCACAAATATATTATTCCTACTTAATGTCTTACATCAACTCGGCGCTCAAATACTGCGAAACTATTCGCTCTAATTTTTGACGAGGGTTCTTATATATCTGGATGGGATAGTTTTTTTCAATGTTTTGAAGAAGATGTGTTCATGATGTGTCAACACTATTGGATGATATCCATTCGTAGATGTGTCACATGGGAAGGTCGATGACTTGGAGACTGTTCAAGGAAGTTATACAAGACAAGGCGTCTACAGCTCAATTGTTCACAGTAAGGCCATCTTTATGGAGTCGTTTGGAAACAAGGTCCAGATACTGGAAATGAGAGACTATCGCAACTCTACTACAATCAGTTTCGATGATGGTTAGTTTTCGTCAAGTCATTTTCTTAACTTACTAATCAGACAACGTTATTCGAACAATAACAATTCTCATACTCATATATACCATTGCGATCACTATCATATCTGTATAAACGTGTACGCTTGATCACAAGACAGTCCAACATATCTCCAGCTAAAATGTTAATAGCTTAGATATCACTCGATGAGTCATTCTCTTTCTCATGTATATATGTACTCGAACATTGTTATTAGCCTTTTCTTCTTCTATCTGCTCTTTGATTCGATTTAATTATAAATCTGCATCTGCATTTGCTCGCAATTACACATTCGCCTCTCTGCTTCAAAATTCGCTCAATGTAATTGTAGATATGTTATCTGTGCTATCCGCCAGTTGCAGCTTCTTATTACGTTCTGATTTCAAACACCGTTAGGAAAGATATATAATAACGGTTACTAAGGTGGTTGATATACGAAGCTAAGCTACTACACGTCTCTGTCCGGACTTGGAGTCAATCTGTCATCTACATATACATGTACGAAGTTGAAACCTAGAAAGACAACGTCGATTAATCTCTTAAAACTTTGTGCAACACTCCTTAAACAGAATGGGATGTGCCAAAATTCGTAGAGTCCGAAAGGGGTGATGACAGTTTTCAAGAATGTCATCATATAGTTTAACCAACGCGTTTAACCCTGCAAAGGTAGCTGTCACATCGCTTGTGTGAGATGACGGGTAACGGTCGAGAATAGTTTCTGCATTCAGTCGTCAATAGTCATCAGTTGGACGTCAATCAATGTTGTCCTTCCCAGGGATCATGTGCAAGATAGACGCCCATAGGCTCTTCGATGGCCGAATGATTCCTGAGTCGACCACGTGTCCGAACTGGTTTTTGGCTTGCCTTAGCTTTTTAGGAGGTAGTTGGAGAGCTTTTGAGAATACAGGTAGTCCCGTAGTCGTTACGTGGTTTGCAACATTGCTGGTTAGACACCGCAATTTCGATCGTGTCTGGTGCAGATCAGGTTGCTTATCGAGTACCTGTTGAGAGAACGGGTTCATTGTGTATCCAACAGTGACTGGGGTTAATCTATAACCGTTAAAGGAAGTTCGAATAACGTGCTTACAAACTCAGCCACTGAGATATTGTGTCATGTCCTGACCAAGTAGTAGTAAATATGTAAATATGTTTTAGTAAATATGTTCATACGGTATAAGCCGTTTGTAAGATCTTGGATAAGAGGTGTTTGGTACCTATCTGGTACTCTTTAACGGCCCAGGGATCTGTAATCCCCGCATGTTCATCAATCACCACCACTTTTTCTCTGGAGCCATATGCAAAGAGGGTACGTATTGGCTATCGGACGGATGGATAATACCTAGTTGTAGTATGTAGTCGAATTCAGAAGTTTTACAAACAAACAAATTATTATTCCCGTCTACTAACATCATTTTTCCCATGTCGATGAGTAGATTATGGTGTTGTAACAGATCTATACTAATGATTGGCATACAAACATTTGTAGCAGTATTGGTCCTAATCGCAAAGCTGAACATGAGAAAACTGGGAAACAGACTTTCAACATGTAACACCAAGAGAAGGCTAATAATCATGAACTCGGGGACTTTCATTCGATGCTCAATTCATTGAATAGTATGGCTCGACCTTACAGGCGTGATCATTCTTGTGCAGCCTATACCTTTCATCCATATTAAATATATTGTTCTATCTCCAGTCTAAATATGTTCTCGATTATATTTTGGTGATTGTTACGACACCACGAGTCAGTGTAGGCAGTGATGTGACTCCCGCCTAAGATCTTATTGATTAAGCAGTTACATCATGAGAAATATACAGTTTTAGGATTAGATCTATTATTAGAGCATTACTAATAACGAAGTAAACCATAATTCTAAACATCTGCAAAAACGAAAATGCAATGAAGCGTTGGCGTAAACTTACGTTAAGATCAACGTATGGCTTAGCGTATGTGGCAATCTGTCTCCATTCTGCCGTCAGTAAGTTGAAAATCTCTTCATGCAGACAGTCGTTAGAACTTGAGGGAAGAATACCTACTTCTGCGCCAGTGTTGGCTAGATAGCGAACTTTCGTAATCACATCAATGGTAGACAACAGACAACTGTGTGTCGCCGGCCATAGTTGCCAATAACTCGTGGCGGCTATGAAGATTGGCGAAATAATTTTCATGTTGGACGTTTGGGAAATATAGAAACTGCGATCTTTTCTACAATCTCCAGAGGACTAACCATGTGCGTTGTCCTACCAACACCTACGAGGATTCTTTCTCTCATAGCCGAAAAACAGATCTTTCACGTGGTGAGTTTTTTCGAGGAGTTTTGTATTGTTTGCGATTATGATGAGTATTAAGACGAGAGAGAGTATGGCACTAACTTGTAACATCATTTTGCGTCGTTTGAGGCTTTTCTTAGACAGAATAAGAGTCAGCGTTGAATTTTCCGGTAATTCTCAAAATCTGGTCGGCAGTTGCAGGTAGTTAGTTGACGGAATTATTTTACAGTCAGAAAAGAACCATTTGGTCCTAGTGAAAAACCTCAAATGAGAACAGCTTTCTTAAATGACTTTTATCGAAGGTCAGTTGACCATCGGCCTCTCTCATAAGTAACAACAGTTATGTTACTGAGCGGTGTTGCAACTCAATGTCGTGGTGAAGCTGATCAAACCTTTGTCGGTTGATTAGGCTTCCCCATTGAGGGACAGCGTTCTAGAAGGTGTTGTAAGGTTCAGGAACATCACTGGTAAACATACTAGGTTTGACGCACCTTTTAAAACCACACGTTGGTGCATTTACCACTGCAAGGAATTATTCACGCAGGTCTTTCAAGCCACGTTCGTGGAAATCAGCTTCTGCGTAGCAGAACTAGGCATCTATATTGTCAGGCGAGAATGGCGTAATAGTCTTAAATATCAAACAACGTACATGTCTGTTACGCCATAACAAAGATAAGATATATAAATGAGCGGGGAAAGATATTTGAAAATATAAAGACAAAAAATGAAATTTTAAAAGTGACATAGAATGTTCCAACAAGGAGCAGATTCACAGTTTATTTTTCTGTGTACCAGATCAAATCGGTCTCATGACTACCGGTACCACAGATATTCGGAATTCAACAACGCTTTTACACTTAACACCTTTATGATATAAGCAGATTAACTCAGACAAATCAGGGGTCATAAATGAAGGGGTTGGAAAATATATTTTGAAGACTAGCGGTGTATTGTATAAGCTGACTGTTAGCTGGAAGGGATGCGTAGCACGACATGCTCACTCATGATCTGGTACGGATGCGCGACCGAGCGCATTCAGCTAGGTGAGTCCAGTAAAACCTAAGTGGTCGGCATCAAATGTCGAAGACCTACAGAGCTATTGATTTTGGAGATTTATTTACCGCTACAGTTATCGCAAGTTCCTTGACCTACTATTCATTCCCAGACTGTTATCTATTGAAGACCTGGAACCGTATCTTATCATGAAAACGTGAGCAGGTGAAAGTTCACCAATATACACCAGCTACTCATAAAGTTTTAAAACATTGGCAACTGGACACATCATTTCTCTTCTTTCTTATGAAACCTAAGTTTTTTACACAATGATTCATAATTTCTGTCACTAACAAAGTTTACTTGTGCTCATTCAATGAAGTTTGTGAATTAAGATTTGCATTGGAACATTTTATGAATTGGGGGTGTTACGTCAAGGTTGTGCACTAATATCTGGTTGGACTATCTGTTCGATCCGAGGCTTATACTGTTACTGGTTGTTGTCTATTGCTTTCCTTAATAAATGTAAGTGTATTGTGTGCTCTTTCTGGGTCGTTGGCTCACTTTTTGTTTTCCTTTCCAGCCCTTACACTACTCTTCATGCTACCTTATTACCCAAAGTATCTTCTGGCTTCACGCAAACCGTTCTACTTTGTTTGGGGTTAGGTTCGCCAGACATCATTTTGTAACTATGACTTTATCGTTGTGGACTCATTACTATAAATTGTTTAATCAATAAATTGGTTATAACCAATTTATTTTCTTAGTATGATGGTGTATACACCATCATACTAAGAAAATTATATATTCTCCAATAATACTTGGTGTTTCTAACTTCGCTAGTTGTATAAGTTTCAGGTATTCCTCATTATTTTCTCCTGGCATAAGATTAACTGGATCAATGAGCAATTAAATTAAGCTCATTCCAACAAGCTGTTTGTCCATTACAGCATACAACACTATAGTGTTCTGTTTCGTTTCTCTGTAAACTTTGCGTTGACACGATGTAGAAATTTCTATAATCAAACCACCCATCTAAGGTTATGCAGCATCACAAGCGTGAACACCTGACCTACCTTCTGTAAACATTAGACAAACAATGCAGTTTTCCAAACATTATGGTTTCTCACTAAATCTGCAGAGTTGATTATTTCTCGTGATATTGATCATATTATAGTAAAGATATTTTACTTTTCAAAGTTGACTGAAGACTGGTATTAATATTGTCGCTGAACGAAGCCTCTGCTTTGTCTATCTTAATGACTTGGTCGAGCTATAGTAACTGGGACAGTTATCCCTTTAGGTTGTACCAGCTCGATAGAGCCTCTACTAGCTCTGTTTTTTCAAGTTCCCTAATGAGAAATATTCTTTCACTATGTGGACGATCCAGGAGTGATAACCGCCGTCTTACATAACCTGATATCATTTTGTTCACGATCAAATCTCTGTCACTTCTGAATATTTCTTCCATCGTCGTCATTAACCCTTCTATGAATTTATTTCTATCCCTAAGCGTTACCAATGCTAATTGTTCAAGTCCATGAGATGTTATTTCTTGCCTTGTAAAACCGCGCCCTAAACCACGTGTTAAAGCTCTTGTTGTTTAAACCTTGTGTCGAACAGTCTCATTAGTTAGCCATCAATGTATGCATACAGGATCAAAGTGTAGTCATTCACTTTACCACACCTATTCAGTACAGAGAACCGGGACGACTTACGTTTCAATTATCTGGAGACCTGACTGCCTCTCTATTTCAACCACAACAACCTAGACTGGTAGCATCATTAGCCCTCCTATTAAAAGGTTTGTTCACACCGAAACATTGTGGACGAGCTTGAAACAGGCCTGACTGCCAATTCACGTTGCCTGACGCAATCGCACCACATTTTAATGTATACGTTTGCAGTTCAGGCCAAAACGAAAGACACCTAGGTGTGTTTTACTGCGTCACAGCTTAAGGAACAGATAGCTGTGACCGTCTGCTGCAACTAATCTCAGACAACCATATATTCTTAGCAAGCACCAACTTTAGGCTTAAAGAGTAGCATCGTCTGATAGACAACAGGGGAAAACTTTTCGGACGGAAATAAGTATTAAATATTTCAGGATTCTATATGGAAAATGGGACAATGATCCACTTTCAACCTAGGGGACTGGAATAATGGGCAGAACAGTGATGAACAGTTTAACTTCTCTCCAACCACCGTTCAGTCGTCTGCTTTCACCAAGCAGCTTGGCTGGAATGTTAACAGGATTCCCCAAACTCTTAGTGAAGCAAAAAATGTCAGCTAGTCTAAGGCGTAGGGGTGCAGCAGGTCCCGACCGGTCGACCCTTGAGATCTTAGCTAGAGACTGGATGTAATCCAACCTGACTGGTACCGATCACTAATCGTTTCAGTCCATAAGAAGGGATGAAAATCCTCTTTGGATAACAACTAATGAATCAGTCTGACTAATATCATATCTAAAGTATTAGCCTCGATAATGCATACAGGATCAAAGTGTAGTCATTCACTTTACCACACCTATTCAGTACAGAGAACCGGGACGACTTACGTTTCAATTATCTGGAGACCTGACTGCCTCTCATGTTAGTAATGCAGAGGTTCGGCATCGTGTGTTCGGGCGCAGAGACGATAATTCAATTGGTGTCACCATCTTGAAACACCGACTTCGGTGGCTCGGACATGTTTCACGAATGTCGTCCCAGAGACTTCCGCGTCGTGCATTATTTGCCGACCCTGGGACTGGTTGGAGTAAGCGGAGAGGAGGTCAGTGTATGACATGGTGTCGTGGCATGAAAGAGAGCTGCAAAGGGCTAGCTTCCGTTGGTCCTTCACGACTCCCTGGTTGGGGTCCGAGAGATAGTGCAACACAGTGGCTAGAGACGTTATCGGATATGGCTCAGAATAGAAGCCAGTGGCGATCCTGCTGCAACCTTCTTTTACTTTCTACATAAAGAATGGTTCTAACTTTCCTAACTGAAAGAATCTTCTGGTTGTACATTTCAGCCCGCCTTATCTTTTCATCCTTTATCTACCTACTTTCATTATTTTGTGTGGCGCATATGTACCTGGTGCCCTTTTGTACTAATATATATGTGTTTAAATAAATAAATAAGCCTCGATAATCATCGGACACTTGACTTGGCCTCGGGAGAATCAGACTGATTCCAGACCTGTGGGTTGATGTGTGGACCGAGCGACTCCCACCCGTAGTTGTATTTCCTGACCAGGCAGCTTTCGGCTCCCGTGGTCGATAGGCATTATGGTAGTGCTTGTCGTTAAAAGGTATACTAATGAAGTACATTAACATTTTACAAGCTCTACTCGAACATTACTGGTCGAGTCAGAGCTTGTGTCAAACTATCATGCCTTACCTTACATACGCCTGTTACTCCCAATGGAGCATAGGCCGCCGACCAGTTTTCTCCAACCCACTCTGTCCTGGGCTTCCTTTTCTAGTTCTATCCAGGTCTTGTTCATTCTTCTCATGTCTGTCTCTATTTCTCGGCGTAATGTGTTCTTTGGTCTTCCTATTCTCCTTTGACCTTCGGGATTCCATGTGACGCAATTGAGTGATTTCCTCAAAGTGTGCCCAATCCACTTTCAGCGCTTCCTCCTGATTTCTTCCTCCGCTGGAATCTGATTTGTTGTCTCCCACAGTAACTTATTGCTGATAGTGTCTGGCCATCAAATCCGAAGTATCTTGCGTAGACAATTGTTAATAAACACTTGTATCTTCTGGATAATGGCTTTCGTAGTTCTCCACGTCTCCGCCCCATACAATAGAACTGTCTTGACATTTGTATTGAAAATTCTAACCTTGGTGTTGGTTGACAATTGTTTTGAGCTCCATATGTTTTTCAGTTGTAAGTATGCTGCTCTTGCTTTGCCGATCTGCGCCCTCACATCTGCATCTGATCCACCGTGTTCATCAATGATGCTGCCCAGATACGTAAAGGTTTCCACATCTTCCAAAGCTTCTCCGTCAAGTGTAATTTGATTGGTGCATATTGTATTGTATCAGAGAGTCTTGCTTTTCCCTTTGTTTATATTGAGACCTACTGCTGCTGAGGCTGCTGCTACACTGGTCATTTTCTCTTGCGTTTGTGATAGAAGAGCCAGATCATCCGCGAAGTTCAAATCGTCAAGCTGCATCCTGCCTGTCCACTATCCCGTGATTTCCTCCAGATGTTGACGTCTTCATGATCCAGTCGATGACCAGGAGAAAGAGAAAGGGTGAGAGTAAGCAACCTTGCCTAACACCGGTCTTCACTTGAAACGAGTCGGTGAGTTGTCCTCCGTGGACGATTTGGCAGTTTGGTCCATCATAGGAGTTCCGTATTATATTGACTATCTTCTCAGGCACGCCGTAGTGTCTAAGAAGCCTCCATAATGTCGTCCTGTCCACACTATCAAATGCCTTCTCGTAGTCGATGAAGTTGATGTAGAGTGATGAGTTCCATTCGATTGATTGTTCCACAATGATCCGTAGAGTTGCGATTTGATCTGTGCACGATCTATCCTTACGAAATCCAGCTTGTTGATCTCGAAGTTAGGCGTCCACGGAATCCTTCATCCTGTTTAACAATACTCGGTTGAAGACTTTTCCTGGTATTGAGAGGAGAGTTATGCCCATGTAGTTGTCGCACTTGCTGAGATCGCCTTTCTTTGGTATCTTGATCAGAAGTCCTTTTTTCCAGTCTGTTGGTACTTGTTCTTCGTCCCAAATCTTACTGAAGAGGATGTGTAGTATCTTGGCAGTTGCTGCTACATTTGCTTCCAGTGCCTCCGCTGGGATGTTGTCTGGTCCCGCTGCTTTGCCGCTCTTGATTTGTCTAATGGCCATACTGATCTCTTCAATTGTTGGTGAGCCAACATCGATTGGGAGGTCCGTGGGTGCTGCTTCGATGTTGAGTGGGTTCAGTGGAGCTGGTCGATCCAAGAGTTCTTTGAAGTGTTCTACCCACCTGTTTCGTTGTTCTTCAATGTCGGTGATTACTTTGCCTTCCTTGCTTTTCACTGGTCTTTCTGGCTTACAGTAATTTCCAGCAAGTTTCTTTGTTGTATCATACAATTATCTCATGTTTCCTTCTCTTGCAGCCTTTTCCGCTGTCGTTTCTAAATCTTCAACATATTTACGTTTGTCGGTTCTGATGCTCCTCTTCACTTGCTTGTTTGCCTCTGTGTATTCGGCTTGTGCCTTGGCTTTTTCCGTTCTGGTTCGGCTGATATTGATTGCTGCCTTCTTGTTCCTCCTTGCTTCAATCTTATCCAGTGTACCAACAGTGATCCATTCCTTGTGATGGTGCTTCTTTCGGCCCAGAACCTCTTGACACGTTGAAACGATTGCCTCCTTGATACCTTTCCAGTTGCTCTCCATCGTAGTTCCCTCTCCATTGAGTAGATCATGAAAGGCCTGGAACCTGTTGCTGAGGGCTATGTTGAATTTGTTGAGTTTGTCAGCATCTCGAAGAAAGGCCGTCTTAAACTTTTGTGATGTTGTCCGCGTCGTTGTCCACTGCTTCTTGAGTTTTAGTTTCATCTTGGCGACCAGCAAATTATGATCGGATGCTATATCAGCTCCTCTTCTGGTTCTCACATCCTCCATCGTCCTCCTGAACTTTTTGTTGATGCAGATATGGTCGATTTGATTCTGTGTAGTGTGATCCGGTGAAATCCAAGTGGCTTTGTGTATGTTTTTGTGTGGGAATATGGTGCCACCTACGACCAGTTTATTGAAGGCACATAGATTTGCAAATCTCTCACCATTTTCGTTCCTTCCTCCCAGTCCATGTTGTCCCATGACGTCTTCGTATCCAGTGTTGTCCATTCCAACCTTAGCATTGAGATCTCCCATCAGAATTGTCAGTTCCTTGGTTGGGCACTTCTCGAAGATCGACTGCAGCCTATCGTAGAATTGGTCTTTAGCGTCTTCATCGTAGTCGTTGGTAGGCGCATAGCATTGGATGACGTTCATTGTAATGCCCTCTCTCTTTGTTTTGAAGGAGACTTTGATGTTATTTGGTCCATGAGATTCCCATCCAATAAGTGCATTTTGTGCTTTTCTGGACAGCATCAATGCAACTCCTTGTGTATGTGGGGCATTTTCTTCTTCATGACCGGAGTATAACAGAAGTTCTCCTGAAGACAGTCGTTGTTGTCCAACCTGCGTCCAATGTGTTTCACTGATTCCAAGAACCTCCAGGTTGTATTTTCTCATTTCTGCAGCAATTTGGAAAACTCTTCCGGTCTCCCACATTGTCCGGACATTCCATGTACCTATGAAAATTGTTGCTCTGGTTGTAAGAAGGTGCATCGGCCTCATAACTTCCGAAGGAACTCGGCTTTCATCATGAGACGTCATAATTATTCCTTCTACTCCCAGGGCAGAGTTTAAATGGTTTGAATTATTTTTTCTGGTTAGCGTTTTTTTAGCGAGTTAGCTTTTCTACGGGATGGGGTCGCTAACCCCATGCCCAACCCTCCTCCTTTACCCGGGCTTGGGATCGGCAGTAACCCCCAGAGGAGCTACAGGCGGAGTTAAACTATCATGCAGACATCTTTAAATAGAAATATGGTTATTTCTTTCACAAGTTTGGCAATATACTGTTCTCTTAAGCATTTACCTGGTTTCTATTGCTTTTAGCTATTTATGATCTCGCAAAATAGAACATTTGTGTTTTCCAGGCAATTAACACGTGAATTTCTGTTTTAGATTCTCTTCAAATGTCACTGACTGGACCTCAACTTCTTCCCCTTGAACTGGTTGACAAATGCATAGGTTCCAAGATTCATATAATCATGAAAAATGATAAAGAAATGGTTGGAACCTTGCTTGGCTTTGATAGTTACGTAAACATGGTCTTGGCTGACGTTACTGAATTTGAGTTTACAGCCCAAGGTAAACGTATAACAAAACTGCCACATATTTTGTTGAATGGTAGTAACATTGTTATGATGGTGCCTGGTGGAGAAGGCCCTGAAATTTAAGCTATATGGCATTTTCATTGTATATAAAACAAAGACAACAATAAATTGTTCGTAACATTGTTATTGCTGTTTCCGGATAGTAGGACTATCCTGTTATTGGTCTGCAGTGATTCAAAACTACTTGGAGATGATCTGTCCCTTCAAGATTTTCGAAATCATTAGAAGCTTCAATTGCTTTGAACCTGAGGTTGTCACTAGTCGGACTAAAATACCCTAAAGTATAGCACAAATGAGTATCAGTCCAAGTTACTGCTCTTCAAATCATCACAATAAGAGGAAATTCAAGTATTTGAGAACACTATTTCGCACGCTGTCATTCAAAATATAGTTTGAAGGGAACAAATAAATCTAGTAAAAGGGAGTGAAGATGAAAACAAAGAAAAATCAAGTTTACAGGCTACTAACGCATCAGATATTCGTAATTTATTTCAAGACGCTGTTTTTTTTCCATAAAATGGTCTTAGTATATTTCTATGAAAGATTATTACTGAAACCGGTAATATGACGAACTAATGAACTTGAAGAATATGGGTGTAACTTCTGTGATACGGGTGACAGACTATCCATAATCTAATAGATTTTTTCGAGGACAAACTGACTTGAGTCTTGTTGGTGTGTCCACTTGTTTAAACTTGATTCATATTTGTTGAAAGTGTATTTTCGTTAGCATGTGAATGCCTTCCTGATCAACACACTTACTACGAGACAAATTTCAACTACTAGAACCAGTAATGTTTACTCTAACTTCATGATATATAAGTGTATGAATATATAATGGGAATAATTTAGGAAAAAACTTATCACCCCCGACTAACACTAGCTTAACAACCCTAGAAAACTGTATGATTTGCTTAACAGACCTCATCAACACAATCCAGTCTTAGATAGACACCAACGGACAAAACACAGTAGAGATTAAGCTGTAGCGGTAAATAAATCCCCTGAGTAAGTAGCCCTGTAAGTCTGTGGTATTTGTGTTGGTCTTATTAGTTTCATTGGACTCACCCCCAGCTGAAGGCACTCGGTCAATCATCCGCACTAAATCACGTTTGGGTGTGCCGTGTTAAGTATCTACAACAACTAGTCAGTTTGGAGTCGATAACTGTACGGTAAATCGATCTGTAATCCGGATACACATCCACATCCCGCAATTCTTTGCTCTTCGTTTATTGGCTTTGGAATCATCGTATAAGAAATTTCAGACAGTAGCGTTATCAAATCCTACGTATCTGTTACCTGTTCAAGACATTTACTACAGAGGTGAGAAATTATAATCTTCATGATACATACTTAATATGGGATTTTAGTTCTTAGATTCACAGCAGGTTTAGAGCTAACTTATTTTTCTTAGTTCCTCGACACTGACGTCACATTTAATGTAACCAAGAATGTTCATAACTTCAGATTAAAAATGTCAGCACTTGAGCACCAAATTGAAATCCAGTCGCTCACTTATCAGTTATTAACAGCTTGAATACCACAATGCCATCAGTGGGTCATCTGTGTCGATTTATATGACTATAGATCATAGCTACTCTCTGGAACGCCCTCATCTTTATTTGAAAAATTGAGTTATAAACCAGACACTAGTAGCAAATTGTTTTAGAAACAGTAACCCGTTAAATCAACGGAGTCGGAATATAAGTGCGTGCCTTCACTTTCGATATCACAAACTTTCGAGACGTCCCCATACGACGGCACTGACCGCACTTAGAATGAAGGTCTAATAATCTCACGAGGGCTGCACCGCAAAAGTTAGAGGGTCCGGAGTTCTAACTGGAGAGATTGTAGTGTTTATGTTGCATATATGAAGATCCATGATTACCCGTTATCCTCACAAGCTATGTCGATTTTTCAACATTTTAAGGCTCTAAACAAATAATACTTTCTTGTATTGGTTTTTTGAATCATCCCATTGATGCATAGAACTGCAATTGATCAACCGTGGAGTTTATTACGGAAGACTTTTGCCCAAAATGATCAGCTTTACGGATTCTAACTATACATGAGTGCACAATCATCATGCAAAATATGAATGAGCAACATGGTAGTATGTGTACAAGCAATACTAATAAAGTTATGATCGAAATCTCTTAAAACGGAAATGTTTTGTCTGATAATTTGCGAAATTCTCTCAGAACCCAGATCAGTCATCATTCTAAACTGTTATGAATCAACCTTCGTAAGTGGAGACTATATGACTGTTTAACAGTTAGTTTCTCAAGGAAATCCTTATCCAAGTGTAAAATATCAGCTGAAGAAAGTTAATACTCAAGAAAAAGCTGACAGTAGTATGCTTTTTAAAGTATATTGATGGAAACAGTACCAAACAATCTGATGAAACCATGCCGTGGCAAGTACTAATTGTGATCTAACGTATACAACTATATCAAATGTCTCATGAGAATAATTGTCATAACCAAAACACCATATTTAAAAAAAATATGGACATCAACATAATCGCAATCTAATTTGCTGTCTATATTCACTAAGTTTAGATCATTTTGCTGCAAGAAACCAATTTAAGCTTATCGATTAAAATACTATAGAACACTGTAAACTTATATTTTACGGTAGTACATGAAATATCACTAAAAAAATCCTCCGTTTATTATAATACATTAACAGTACCGATCGATATCAAGATGATGAGTATCAGGAAAAGAAGAAAACAACTATGGCGAGTTTAAATTTACAATTTTGGTAGAAAATAAAATCTGAATGAAGAATAGACCACAGTAGAATCAAAGTGTAAGTGATGTAAGAATTCTTAGTTGATGAGGAGTTTATGTATGTGCATACTAAACACAACGTAACTGACTGTATGTACAGAATAGCGATATATTTACAACCACGGGATAATTTATGTACATTTTGTGAACCAATACACATTGGGAAAACTAAACTCATTGTATATAAAGCTAGAATAATTTAAACACAAAAAGAGATAATTATATATTTAGTTAGTGAACCCCATAAAAATCTATACATGTTCACATGCTGCAAATAGCCTGGATCAATCAAAATAAACAATTGCCAAATTAAATTATAGTACCAGCAAGTGCACGTGCGCGAAGAACAAAAAACTGAGCGGTACCTGGAGGATAGGGATAAATTGTATCTGGTGAATGATTTACGCAAGGAGCAAGATGTCCTTGTGTAAGTGATCCATTTAATACTGAAGACCTGGACGATTGGAAAGTAGATGAATTATTGTGTCGTTGATACAGATCATTATCATTACGATTTTGCGATCCATTAATTAATGGTTGAAATGTATTTACATTTTCATTTGGTCTAACATCATCTGAGTCAGTCAAACCACCAAAAAGAAATAAACAACCATGACCAAAAGCACATGAAAAACCTAAGCATTCAGGTGGTGCGAAATAAAGATCTACATAACTTTGTTTGACAGGTACCAACCAATCACCTTTAGCTTTATTTCCGGTGAAGTGGATTTTAGTTGCAGAATTATATAAGACATCAGAATGGGAGTATATAATGTTGAGTGTATACAGAGCCAAAGGACGATAAGCACATTCAAGTTTTACATGGTTAGAAGGATACTGGTTATGAGTGGATGAACTTTGATTTGATGAAAACGATCGAGCAAATGATGATGCATTAGCCCCATTAGGAATCAGGTTACGTGATCCAAACAGCCTTCGTTCTTGAATAGCTAAAGCTTCAAGTCTTCGTGCACGTCTGTTATTTGCACGCCTAGATGACGGAAGTTGCAGGATCCCAGTCGATTCACGATCTACAGAAGAAATGTTAGATTATAAACTTATGAGAATATAGGCCTGGTTGTTTCAAATGAATATGATAAAACAAACAGTTGAGTAATATGGATTTTTAATAACCATACAAAAAATTACAACCAAACAATGCGATTCGCGATATTAACTATGAGCTATTCCTATCTAAAGAGAGTTACATACATTACTTTGAATAGCAGGAACACTGCCATCGAACATATTTAGAAAGTATGCACAATACAAACTTATTATCTTGAATACATAACTGAAGTAACTTATAGGACTGAGTTAAAAAAACATCCAGCCCACGCAACCCAAAGTTACATAGTTTTTTTTCTGTTTATCAATTCGAATAAAGAACAAAGATCGCAGTAGAAATAAGTGACTCCATATTATTTTGTAGTGGTCGTTGTTTCTACTTTATTCAAATAACTAAAAGTACTCATCTGAGTTACAAACCTGCATTATTTCAATAAAAAATAAAAGCTATCTATCTAGCGTAAGCGTATATTTTTATTTATGGTAGATTACTTGAGCAGGACAAAACCATTAATTGGCTTCGATTATCACTCTACGCAATATCATTAACCACAGTTTTGATGAAAATTTTGCAAGTAATAAGCCATACGTACTAAGTTCACTCGGTCATCTTCGTGAAAAATGTAAATGTGAGTAAGCGGATAGATTAGTTCCATCATAGGTACTGAAGTAAGCAATAGTAAACTTAGATATATTTCAAAAACTGATGTTCTAGGCACTTGTGTGAGCATTACACGACCAGCAAGAATTAATCCTCATAATTCAATCTTCATTTCACTAAGAGCCGAATGATCTAAAAAACTCGCGTTCTTCAATCACTCACGTGTTTAACGAAATCTAGTCATATTTTTGCATGTACATTATTTTGTATGCCAACATATCATCTAACTAGAAAAAAAACCTATTCTTTTGGGTAACAGTCTTATCTTGTGATATTAGTTTACGTAAATAATTTGATCAGGTGAGCAGCTATCAGTCAGCCACATAGTACTAGTGTTTATCATCTATCGATTAGTATTTTGTTAATTATTTTAACCATAAGGAAACGTCCATATTACTTATCAAATCCTGAAATTCCTACTCCATAACATAGTAAAATCAGTTCTTTATAAGTCCATTTGTTGCAACAAACATTTTTCATGCTTACTGTAGCCATAGTGTACGACGAAATTATAAGATATCTTAAACTAAATTAGTAGAGAGTTGAACAATAACACTAAGATGAGTACTCATTTTAAATATAATCCAGTTCACCTTACATCAAATCTAATATCGCAATCTCAGACCATGTAGTTTGCTGGGATTGTAACAGATAGTAGCCAGAAACTTAACTTTATGGTGGCGGATATTCGTAGTTTTACAACATGACTACTAAGATAAAAATGGAAGAAAACATTTACTTGGTGATTCATGCATATGAAGCATTTCAAAATCAAAATACTCATACCAGTGATATCAGCTGAATGAGAGTGTTTACGCTGCTCCTCATCCTCGTCATTAGCATCATCATCTGACGTACGAGAATCTTGACCTGCCGAATTATTTTGAAAAGTTATACTGTTTAACTCGGAGTTCAGTTTCATGCGACTCCAATATCTGCGCTGTTTAGCTGCCTCGTCCAACAATGCTGTAGTAGGTTGACTGATGACAACAACAGTATAGACATTGTGTACAACTGAGTGGTTTGTACCAACGTTGTCACTCGGTACAGAGATAAAATTACTGTCTTTTGTCAACAACTGTGACTTATTCTCTTCGAGATATGGAAGTGAAACTGCGGTTGCATGATAAAAGTCTATCGGTGGGCATCCAGGGATACCCTCGGAACATTGAACTTTGGTCCAGAACCAATTTACTTCAAACCATTCTGAATACAAAAAAGTATGATTCGAAGCATTATACTTTATATTTATTTATTTGAACACAAATATCTATACAAGGGGGCACTGGATATATATGCGCCACACAAAGGATTATACAGTAGTCTGCATACTGGGAAATTATCTTATTTACGAAAAAAATGCAACATTCTTTACAATATGCCGAGTTTGAATGACTGTAACAAACAGTTTCTAGACGTTATAGTAAGAAAAATATATGAAAGCAATTTCGAAATATAAACATGTATAAAATACTGAATCACGGGATCCACCAAATAAGGATATGGTACTCATTGTATAATAATCACACAACCCCTTAAGTAGCTTACGAAAAAAGAATGACAGACAACTATACATACTAAAATAATTATAAATATCCATGAGAGTACATCACAAGAATCATCAGAGATAGTCCAGTAAATATTTTGAAAACATATTCACAAGAGATTCGCATCTACACATTTTCGATGAAATATTTGAAGAGAATTAATTTTAATTCCAACGCACTCTATCAAAGAAGACAGACTTCAGTTTGCGCAACGACCATTAATAAACTCATAATTGAATAAATAAGTCCTGGTGCGTTATTAGTAAGGTGATAATTAAATTAACAACATACTCGGTTAGAATTTCACCACACCGTTATCGCAAATGATTAAAAGCTACAAAGCAAACCATGGATTGTTAACACTGAGGTAACTAACCAAATAGCGTGTTGTACATGAGATCTTGAATTGTGGTACGTAGCTAGTAATAAACTTAATCATCAGGGATTGATCAAAGTATGCTTGAAACCTCGAGAAAATTCATATCCTCAAAGACTGGATTGAAACCAGAGTTTTTTAGAGTTAAATTTAATGAAAGTACCACTAGCCCTGTTGTGGCTGAAAGGTGTTGGACAATGTAGATTAAAAAATTGAAAAGGAAATAAGGACCATCGACGCACTCTGGCAATCAGTAAAAACAAACATCTAATTTCGGATGTCTGGATGGATATAATTATGAGTTGTTATATTGAATTGAGAAAGATTTACGTGAAAACCCGATCTAGGTAGTGTTAAAAATATTTAAGCTTTCTTTGAGATTACAGTTAGAAATATGACAGCAATAATAAGACCATGTTTTTAATACTAACAAGATGGATATCAGAATTCCCTTGTTCAATAATTACTTGGTGTGAAAATGATGTATTTGTGCATAATATTACATTTATAAACTGAAACTTAAAAAACTTAGTTGATTCCCATAAAAGTATTAAAGTTGATAGGAAGGTTTACAAAAAATGAGGTTTAACACAAATGAGATCAGTATATTACGGTTTACAATAAAATCGAGCAAACTTTGCAATAACTAACTTTGACCAATATTCGGTGAACAACGAGTAAGTATCCATATATCTCTCGCCGGTCGACCATGATAGTTGGGCGTACTAGAAGTTGATTCAGAATCATTATTTGAATTAGGATTAACTGACATTCCTTGTTGTCGACGCACAGAGTGATCAATGGCCAAAGGTGATTCCAAATTCCCAAATAACAAAAGCATTCTATTTGAATCAAGAGCGCAAGTTGAATGACCACAGCGCCCAGATGGCCAGTCACCTTGACAATTATCCGTTGTATCAGTAAGTGAAATCCAACAACCATTTTCTGGAGATATGACAAATAAGTAGTTAACGCACAATCCAAGAGACTGACACATTCCTCCAAATAAAACCAATACACTAGGTTCGCCTACTCCACCTTTAGGGAGAAAACATCCAGATTGCCCGGCAATTGCAGGTGGTGATACAGGACTTAAGTGGTTTACTTCGTATAACGGCACACGTGACCAATGCATTGTCGAAATATTAAAACTATTTAATTCAGTTAACCAATCCATACGGCCCTAGATAAGTTTTGAAAAGAAATGAATTGCAATCACTACTGTTACCAGAGACTTGGGGTACTCAAGAAGTTTAGACAAAGTATTCTATGGATCTGTACTTTGTTGAACAAGAAAAAAATATTATAACCATTACAGGTGAGTTACTGTACATGTATTGCGCAGGTTCATTAACAATACTTTAATGAATCTAATACTCATTTTGCATAGGACCAAGTATAAAAATGTTACTGCAAGAAATATATATCAAAAAGCAATACTAGCAACTGTTTACCCCCATCTTATAAGTTCGTCTAATTTTTATTTAAATATACTCTTTATAATTCCATATTCAAAACTACTTAAAAGGTTTTCTGTTGAGATTTATGTGCATCCAGTGAGACAGACAAACACGTACTAATATTGGAGCATAAACAGAGTTAAAACATATTTCAACATACGGTCTATGTGTCTTTATGTTTAGAGTTGGTCCTTGCTAGTAACAAATAGCTGTCTCAGCATACCTTCTAATTGTAGATTTAACATCATACATATATGAGATGGGTTCTCTTTGTATCTTCTAGAGTGATGACTTTATATACATTTATCACTAACACTAGCAAAGAGTAGTACGATCTGTCTGCTCTTCTTTGAGATTGTTCTAATAAACAAATTGGGTCAGCAAATGGATTCATTTTGCCGATAAGCAAGTTAGTCCTGCGATAAGTCACGGAACACAATCCACTTCAGTTCTTTTCAGGTACATCTTTACTGAAAGGTGAAGGCACACAATCACATCATTATAGACTGCCAAGTGAAAAAACCTTGTCATCTTGTTAGGGAATTCTTACCGACGTGGCCTAAACTATATGAGCAACCTATCCATATTCCAGTTGTTGTGACTTACGAGAGACCGAAGGACGATTATTTGTATGCAGGTGCACAACTTATTCTTGTAAACTAACTTCTGTGAATGTTAGATGAGCTAATACTATAACAGATTCAGAAAATTACAATCACCAAATTCATGACAGAAAATTGTGGTCAGTTATCAGCTCAGGTGTATGTACTCGGCTTTGAGCCACACTTTTTGCGTTGGAACTAGTGATATTATTCGGCTGCCCGGGTAGGTGGAACATAGTTCAACCAGAAACTCACTAGTTGAGAGCCAAGTATTTTAATCAATAAGCCACCGCTCATAAGAAAAAATGTCTAACGTAATTTTTACCGTATGCTCCGATCCAGCTCTATGAAAGCTTTGACAACCTCCGTACAGATAAAGTAGATTTCCAATAAAACCACCTTTAGCATGTGCTCTTGGCGTTGGTAGCTCACCTGATAAATAAACAATATAGAAAACATTTTGAAACTTTGAACAAAATTATTAAAACATATTGCAGATATAAAACGTATTAAATAGTAGATATTTACATTTTAATCCGATAGTGAATTCAATTAAATCACAGATCCCTTCACAACTTGTAAACAGCTAGAAACACCCATGGGTTAGCAGAATCGGATAACTAAAAATACTTACAACAAACCTATCGAAACGAACGATGCGTTAACTTACTAGTTAGAACAATGATTAGTTACTTACATCGTATCGATAATATGACAAACCACATCATGACATGTTATCACAGCCCATGAAGTCACTGACTGATGATCTGAACCGCCTTTGCAGTTCAGACTTACTAGTTGAGATCAACGAACTAGTCACAATTTACAGTGGATGACTCGATATTGGTTACAATACCGCAATCATATTTGTCACTTATCTTTCTCCAAATCACCACTTATTTACATAAATACATGCATATATGGTCTATTGAGAGGTAATGATAGTCGAAGGTCATTAGAGAACCAATTAACTTGAAAATTCATGTATCAATATGTTGTCTGTTTGTTATTCTAGAGGATTACGAAAAGCTAGTCAGAAAATTAGCTCTTGCTACACAAGGTTTTCATGTAAGTGTAAGGTTTTCAAAGTGAAAAGCCAATATTACAAAGCTGAAAATGGGTGTTCCTAAAAAGGTTGTAAGCGATCTCAAGCAGAGAGCTTATAAGCTCTGTAATCACTTAATTATATCCATAGAACCATTCATCTGGCATAAATTTAGTAATGCAGAAAACAACTTAACTTTCCTCAACTTGAGCAGACGGGTGGATTTATGCTATTTTCCCAGAACCTGGATATAGTTATTAAATTTAGTTAGATCTCACCCCATCCAATAATAGTGGAGGATGGTGAAAATAGCCTGTACTGATGACATTTGGAGGCTTTATAGCCAGTTAGAAGTGCTTAGATATAAAACAATTTGCCATACAAAAGTAGGAAAATTAACATAGATAAAGTCTTGGTATGATTAGTGGATTATTTAATACAGCGAACTGAAAATGGTTAGGGTTGAGGATGATAGAATAATTTACATCATAATGATCGATAGTTACACAAATAACCCTTTGATTTCAATTCTGAACAACATTCAAATCACCTTTAGAAGTTTCAGTCAGTCAGCTACAACGTAGGACCAGGTACATTTATGCACCAGTCCAAGTTGCCATACCTCATAAGCACAACAAGATCAACACCGGATTCATAGAAGTAGTTAGTTTAGTGGTGGTAATATGTAAAAAATAGGTTGTATATAAGGATATGGTACAGGAAGAAAGACAGATATGATGCAATTTTAATCTCAAGGTTTAAGGGAAGATAAAAAGTGCACACACCTACGCCATTGTGATCGATTTTGAGTCATGTTACCTACAATCTCCAACCATTGGTTACGATAGTCACGCGGACCCTAATCAAGTAGTCTGCATCTGCCAACATGGCTCAAACTAGAAGTTAGTGACTTCAAGCTCTGATACCACGTTTTGGTTTGGCCGCCCCTAACTCTCTTCCAACCATCCCCTACACTAGTCAGCATAGCGCGTCGTGGTAATCGGTGTTCAGGCATACGTAACACGTGGCCTAGCCATCTCAGTCGAGATTCATGACCTCATCAACTAATTTACCATCATTCCCTAATACCTTGTGTCTAACCTCACTATTACTTACCCGGTGATCCCAGAAGATGCGAGCAATATTTCTATTTTATTATTTTATTTTATTTAAACACATACATATTGGTACAAAAGGGCACCAGATACATATGCGCCACACAAAATAATGAAAGTAGGAAGAGAAAGGATGAAAAGATAAGGCGGGCTGAAATGTACAACCAGAAGAGCTCTCTCAGTTGAGAAAGTTAGAACCACTCTTTATGTAGAAAGTAAAAGAAGGTTACAGCAGGTTCGCCAGTGGCTCCTATTCTGAGCCATATCTGATAACGTTTCTAGCCACTGTGTTGCACCATCTCTCGGACCCCAGCCAGGGAGTCGTGAAGGACCAACAGAAGCTAGCCCTTTGCAGCTTTCTTTCATGCCACGACACCATGTCATACACTGACCTCCTCTCCGCTTTCTCCAACCAGTCCGAGAGTCAGCAAATGATGCACGACATGGAATTCTCTGGGACGACATTCGTAGAACATGTTCAAGCCACCGAAGTCGGTGTTTCAAGATGGTGACACCAATTGAATTATCGTCTCTGCGCCCCATCGGCCACCTAAACAACTCTCTTCTGTGCCTAGACACCCGACCTGTGCATTCAAGTCTCCGACTAATACTACAATATCTGTCGGACGCGCTTTCTGGAGAAGAACTGTTAACTGGTGGTAAAACTCATCCTTGATTGCATCCGGGCTGCAATCTGTCGGGGTATAGGCGGAGATGACGAAAAGACACCGTTTATCACGCCGGTTTCTTCTCACTTTGATGGAACTTTCTAATCTAACAGCACATAACCGACTGTTAATGGGGACCCAATCGATTAGTGCTGCCTCAGCTCTAGCGCTTAGTGCAACACCAACGCCAGCAAGACCGGACGAAGATGCCACAGGGTCCCCGGATAAGCGCATGTGAAACAAGCTTTTCAAAGCGACAGATGGAGAGCGAATTTGTAGTACTTCACTAGAGTCTTGAATATGGGTCTCGGATAGACAGCAAACATCAACATTAGGACTTTCTAAAGACATAGCCAGCCCCATCTGTTGTCCGATCTGCATTAGGGTGCGAACATTGAAGGAAGCCAGCTTGAACGGCGTACGTGGTTTCAAAAAGACTGGTTCAGTATTCGTAATCGGTGGAAGCATTCACTTTCAACCAGACAGTGACTGGAGATCATTTAGATAGGACAGAGTTTCCACCATGGACGAGCTGCTGCGTAAGTTGGAAAGGAAGGATACACAATTTGGGGATAAAGGGAGTGAAAAAGCGACGTAGTAAATAATGGTAATAATAATAATAATAATAATAATAATAATAGTAATAATAATAATAATAATGCAAATTGTCTTTCTTCTATTAGGAACGAGAGCAGTGTAGTTAAAGTAGTGCGTCATTTCATGTCATTTGTGTGTGGGATGTGATACTGCCCGGGTGCCCAAACCGAAGCAGGGCAATATTGCTAAGACAACTGTGGTCAAATACTAGTAACTTGCGAGTATCTTCTACTCTTAATGGCCATATTTCACACCCGTAAAGTAGAACAGAACGAACTGCTGCGCAGTATAATCGTCCCTTAATTGATAGACGGATATCTCGTCTTCGCCATAGGTGACGTAAGTTGACAAAAGCCAAACGAGCTTTTCGAATCCGTGCTGAGATTTCGTCAGACACCAACACATTAGGGCTAATCAGACTTCCAAGATAAGTGAAGTTGTCGACGCGCTCGACTACTTCGCTCCCTATCCTTAGTTCAGGTGTTGACGCAGGCCAGTCCTGGAGTAACAATTTAGATTTAGATGGGGAGAAACGCATCTCAAACATCCTGACATTATTACTCAGTTCTAACAGAAGACTGCACTTTGCCAGCGTATTCACCAAACAGGACTATGTCATCTGCGTATTCTAAGTCGGTTAGTGGACCCCCTGGTATATCAATTCCTGAAAATTCAGTCGACGAGAGTGTTAATTCCAGCAACAGGTCTATAATGAAGTTAAACAAAATTGGGGATAATGGACAACCTTGTCGGACAACACTTGAGGTTGTAAAATCAGATGACAGTTGACCATAAGCTCTCACTCGACTGGTAGTGTTCGAGTAAAGAGCCTTCACAAGGTTTATGTGCTTCTGATGTACATCTTTCAATGACAGACACTGCCATAGAACCTCTCGATCTACAGAGTCAAATGCTGTTCTTAAATCAAGAAAAACTATCATTGTCGGACGCCGATAAACATGTCTGTGCTCTAAAACCTGACGAATAGCGAATACGTGCATCCACGATCAGGTCTGAAACCAGCCTGATTTTCTCGTGTTTGCAGTTCACAAGTCTTAGTTAGGCGCCCGATAATTATTGAGGCTCGTATTTTAGATGCTATGTTAGTCAGACTAATCCCTCTGTGGTTAGCACAGGATGATTTTGGCCCCTTCTTATATATTGGGACAATAAGTGATTAGTTGGATGGGATTACGTCGAACTCCCAGATTTTAGCCAGAATATTAGTCAACCTAATCGCTAAAATTGGACCACCATATTTAAAGACCTCTGGAGCCAATCCATCTGGATCAGCTGCTCTTCCTCGTTTCAGGTTAGTTATAGCCTTTTAAACTTCAGGTAGGGTCGGGGGGCCTACTTCAATGTTCCATTCAGACTGTCTGGGAATAGTGGGTAGTTGTACAGTAGCCGAGGATCAGCTGAACTGCTCCTTAAAGTGTTCAGCCCATCGTTCTATACGTCTGGGCTGAGAGCAGATAAGGGTTCCGTCTTTTACCGAGATCGTTTCACTTACACTTGACTTATTAATTTCGGTTTCTTTTATTAGTCTGAAGAGTTGCCTGGTGTTGCCTACAGCCGCTGCCTTTTCCATCTCTTTTGCTTTCGTTGCCCACCACTGCTCACGATCGTTCCTTAGACTTTTAGTTAACCTAGATCTAATTTCTTTACGCTCTTCGTCGTGTTCAGAGCCTGATGGGATGAGTTTACGCGAATCCATCAGTGAAATAGATTTGGAAGAAATCCACTGGTTTTTTGGAACCATATGGTTTAAATTACTAATAGATGTTACTGCTGTTTCCACAGCTGTTCGTATGTCTTTCCAAGCAGCATCTGGGCCAGTCTCGTTTACAGAACTGCCTAGATGTGAACTCAGTTGTTCCTGGAATTTACATTTGGCTTTCTCGTGCTCCAGTTCGATCCTAATGGGTCTTTTTAGTGTAGTTTTCCTGCGTCCAGTGAGGCGCAGACAAATGCATGCTCGTATTAAAGCGTGATCAGAGTCTAAACAAGTATTCCAATACGAGCAACAGTCTTCTATCGAGCCTCTCCAACGACGACTGATGGAAGTTTACAAATCATGTTGAAGTATAACGTGCACTTTGTCCCTGTTAGCCTTCAAATGCCTTAGTATAGTCGAGGGTGGAGGAAGTCGGCTCTCCTCAAAACGCCCTCACCACTACCAAAATCGAGAGGACGAAAAGTGAATTTCAAAAGCTTCGGCTGGGTTGGTGGACACGGACGGTTCATCTAAGGGAGTTGGAAAACCCTGATTCCAAGCCAATGGTGCACATGGGCTCCAGGATCCTGAGGGAACAAATGGCGTATAAACCTATTGTGGGTCACCAGCTACCATGGGACTACACCTGTTAACGTTGCTCCACTGTCTTGTGGATTAGACCTCCAAGTTAAAAGCTCGGGGAGTGGCTCCTAAGAAAACCACCTGCTTTGGTCTGAGCGCTTGAGCAGTATACCAGCCCTCACATATGTCGAACGACAAAGTGTGGTGTATACGTATCTGGTGCTTCCTTGTACCAATGTTTGTGTGTATAAATAAATAGCATTTTATTAATTTTCCACGAAAAACCAAACACTTTCCCATCTTTATTTCGATAGTTATTTAAGTTCGCCCATGCTTTTAGTTGCACAATGTTTATCGCGTTTAAGCATCTTGGTAGATATACCTAACTATCCCCTGTCCTAACTAAGATACAAGCTATTCATCATCGAGAGCTCAATCTTGAACAGTATAGCTTACACCGTAGAGAACAGGAACAGTTCGCTTTACGAGTACATTGAGTTAATGATGATTTTCACCCCCGCAGTATCAAGTTTAAAATCAGGACATACATCTTGAACTACATACCAGTTGACTACTACCAGTCTTGTTTGGTTGAACAGCACGACAACACTGGAATACAGATCATTGCTTATTTGCGCTCTCCAAGCTCCCGAATGCACTTTCCAGGAAGAATTTCACTGAAGAATATTTAATATCCAGAAAGACAACCCGAAAAATCACTTTGACAACTATAAAGTGTCGAAGACGTGATGAGGACAGAACTCGTCGAGTAATTCTTGGGATCCGCAACGGCGCTACTGACTTTGGTTAGTAATTCCCGGAAGTTATGAAGTCATTAAACTTCGAAATGGTGACTCAAAATCGGTTAGACTATAGTTTATGGACGACCGGTAAGCGACGCCAAAGTGGCCTTGAGAATATCCACCTGCTGATCAGGGTTAAATGAGGGTTTTAAACCTGTGTGAAAGATAAGGATTGTGATTTACAGCTGATGGTTAGAAATAGGGAGTAGATCTAAAAGTTTCATCACGAACTAGCATCAGCCAAGATGCCAAGACGCTACTTAGCCGAATGGATAAAGAATTTCGAGCCGACATCCAAGCTCTGTTATCGCAACTCTGATTGGTTAGTCCACAAATGACACTCTCGCCCCAAAATCTAATACTAAGTGGAATCCGTACACGATGTGTGAAAAAAGTGACCACTTCACTGAAAAAATATATCACTTGGCAGCACCAAAGTCTGAGTAGAAATTAAACTGACCTTTACCAATCAGACGCTGCCAGCTGAAGGTGCATAAATCATATGTCCATAAATCATTGAAGGCTGTTAGTTCCTTTGTAGCACCACCAAAGACATACAGTAACTGCTCTTTCAATAGGATAGCTGCTCCAAACCTCTTGGATGGGGATGTGTGTTTGAAGCGTTCTGTACAAGTAGTTTGTTGTGGAGATACCCATTGCAATGGCCTCTGCATTTTAAATGCAGATAGAGTAAGACTTTCACGCATCTTGAAGACGCTCTGACCAACCTCTCTCCATCGTCTGCAGACATTGAGTACTGTGAGTAAATCAGTACAAGGAGAAAGTAACATAAAAATACATTGCAGTAATTCAACAGGTAGATCGCTGAACATTTGTAACGCTACATTTGGAAAACGATAATGAACCAAAACATCAAGGGCAAATATTGGGCAATGTTCAACAACCTTCGAATATGTAGCAGAAAACAATTTCTTCTCATAAATATCTCGAAATCATTTGATTATCAGGCTGATCATGTTAGTTGTACTTAGCGCTTCACCAGCTGAAGGCACTTGAAAAAGCATCTCCGCCGAATGATGTAACTCGTCATGAAACGCACCTCGACTAATAACTAATCAGCTTAAAAGTCACAAATCACGTTATCTAATCATATAGCGGAACGAAACTTTCTGGGCAATTATTATCTTCAGCTTATCTAACTTACTTTCGGATAACTTCCTTTGAAAAGACTGTTATGCTAGCGTTGCTAAAACAATTCATATCTGAATCTTCTTCAAACTGCTAACTTTGTCAAGATTAAACAGGAAACTGACTGTTGTTCCGAGACGTACATTAAGTAAGGCAATGTAGTATTGATGTGTATCTCTGCCTGTAGCTCTTCAAGAGCTACTCCTGGTCCCAATCCGAGGTAAAGGTAGAGGCTTGAGCATAGAGTCACCAACCCCATCCTGTAGAAAATAATCTTGCTAAAAAAACGCTAATCATAATTAACAAATTAAACCGTTTAGACTCTGACCTGGGAGTCGAAGGAATAAGTATAACACCTCAAGATGAAAGACCAGATTCTTCTGAAGTCATAAGGCCGATGCCCCTTCTAACAACCAGAGCAACATTCTTTATATGTACATGGAACGTCCGGACAATGTGGGAGACAGGAAAGACCAGCCAAATAGCGACGGAAATAAGGAGATATAACTTGGCAGTACTCGGAATTAGCGAAACTCATTGGACCCAAGATGGATATCAAGGCTAAATACGGGAGAGATGCTTCTGTATTCCGGTGACAGAGAGGAAAATGCTCCTCACACTTAGGAATTTTCTCTGATGCTGTCGAATAAAGCACGAAAATCGCTTACAGGATAAAAGTGTAATGGTTTCAATAGCACTGAAACATTCTCCAAAACAAAGAATATCACATTGTATGTTATCTAATGTTATGTACCTGATAATCCTAATAGGAGACTTAAATGCTAAAGTCAGAATAGACAACACCGGGTATGAATACATCATGAGACGACATGGACTGACTAGAAAAAAAGAACGAGAGTGGTGACAGATTTGCACGTTTATGGACATTCAACAAATTGGTTAAAGGCAGCACAATATTTCCACACAAACTCATACGCAAAGCTACGTGGATCTCACTGAATCACACTACAAAGAACCAGATCAATCGTATTTACACCAGTAAAATATTGCGAAGGACGATGGAAGACGTGAGAACTATAAGAGAAACTGAAATAGCTTCAGATCACCAACCATTAGTGTTCAAAATGATTCAGAAGCTGAAAAACAACTAGGCAACTGGAGAAACAGAAATAGAAAGGTTGAATACGGCCTTCCTACAAGATACCAGCTAACTCAACGAATTCAAGATAACTCTCGACAACAGGTTCCGAACCTTACAGGATCTACTAGTAGAAGAAGAAACCGCATCGGAAGTCAACTGGAAATTGTTGAAAGAAGCATTAACTTCAACGTGTCAGGAGGTTCTGGGCCGCAACAAGCATCATCATACAGAATGAATCTCTATCAAAACCCTGGACACTAATCAATAAAGGAAGAGTAAGAAGACAGCAATAAAAAAACAGTCAAACACGAGCAGAGAAAGTCAAGACAGGCTGAACATACAGAAGTAAACATGCGAGTGAAAAGGAGCATTAGAGCTGACAAGGAGGAGTACGTGGTACAGCTAGCGGCAACAGCGGAAAAAGCTTCAAGGGAAAGACATATGAGACAATTCTGTGACAACGTAGAAACTAGAAGGGAAATATAGTATGGAAGATGGCTGAAAGACGCATTCCAAGTGAGGACAGGAGTCAGACAAGGCTATTCGCTCTCCTCCTTTCTCTTTCTTCCGGGGGTCGACTGGATTATGAAGACCGCGACATCTGAGGAGAAGCACGGAATACAATGGATAGGTTGCATACAACCAGACGTTTGGCACTTCATAGATCACCTAGCTCTTCTATCTCACACACTGAAACATGTATAGGCGACGTCGGCCAGTGAACCACCAGCGTCAGTAGACCTCAACATACACAAGTGAAATGCAAGATCTTGAAATACAACAGAGAGGGCACCAACCCAATCATAATTTATGGAGAAACACTGAGACATGTGGAAACATCATTGACTAGCATGGCGGATCTGAAGCAGGCGTAAAGACAATGACTGACGAAGTAAGGGCAGCATTCCTACAGTTGACGAACACATTGAACTCAAAACAACTGTCAACCAACACAAAATTCATAATCTTCAATACGAACGTCAACACAGTCTTATTTTGCGTAGCTCAAACGTGGAAAACTACTACAACCGCCACCAAAATGTTGCAAGTATTTATAAACAATTATCTTCTTAAGATGCTGAAAGTCCGTTGACCGAAAACCATCAGCCGCATCCTACTATGTTAGATGACAAACCAACTTCCATCTGAGGAGGAAATTAGGTAAAGATTTTGGAAGTGGATAGGACTTATATTACGTAAATCATCCAACTACGTCACGAGGCAAGCTCTAACTTGGAATCCTAATTAGAAATGGAAAAGAAGAAGACCGAAGAACACACTGCACCGAGAATTGGAAGCATACGTGGAGAAGATGAATGGCAACTGGAAAGGAGTGCTCAGGACAGAGTTGGACAGAGAATACTGGTGATCAGCCTATGTCCCTTCATGAGGGGTAACAGGCGTGCGTGAGTAAGTAAGTTTCGATGTATATGAAATAACAATCTTCATGTTAATTTATTAAAAATCTGGACAAACGGATGTGAAAAGTAAGGATGACTGGGAGGTGGCATCTGGAACATGTTTTCGCAATACTGCTGAACCTTAGACGCATTTAAAACTTTCTTTTGGTTAAACTGGTAGAAGTCACCACTCATACCTACCCAATAGTATTTATAAAAAAAGTACTTTCAGAATACTAACCTACGACGAAACTCATTACTCATAGCCTCCTGAAAACCATTTTGCGTTTGACCATTATGTGAAACCCTATCAGTGTCATTTAGTACATAATCACAGACATGATCTAATAGAATAATGAGGGTTACGCTGGATATAACGTTTTGGCCACATACTCTCTTAACTCCTATGCGCCCCAGTTTTCAATTTCCATTATTCTAAAATTATTCAGATCATTTTATTGATGTGTGGTGGCGAGTGGCTCAACAAGACAAACAGCTTTATAGAAGCGGATCATACTTTTACTTATTTTCCTCACGAAACGGTCATCCGGGTTTGTCTTGTCTATGTTATCTTCATGTGAGTTCAAATACTTCTTTTCAGTTTATCAACTCTGAACTCATTTCAAAATAGTTATATGATGAGTAAGGTTGGCATACCTTATGACAAGTGTGCTGGATGGAGAGTGTGTGAGCGTTACCGTAAGTAAGTCACTCATGTAAATCAGCATATTACTTGTGATTTATCGATATACTTCACCTGGCCTTCGACATCAGAGTTCTCCAAATCGTTCATTCTTACTCTCTATAACAAGTCGGAGAAGTTTCAAGAAGTATCCAATGTAAATAAATTGCATCGGAGGTCATGATAGAGAAAGATATTTTTTCAAAATTTACTTACATCTGAGCTACACGTTACATTTAGGTCACGTTTGACAACGAATGAGGATTGTTTGTATGGGTAGACTGAAGAAGGATATTCATAATCATAGAACTTAATGCTCCCGTATTACTTGACCAATCCATAGTGCTATAAACGTCTACTTCGGTCAGTTTCACAGTTGTTGGTTGTAAGTGCTTCATCACAAGATATGCAGACAACTCAAATAATTGTTTGACTAGGTTGAACAAGAGGAAGTATTTTAAATGCTCTTTCAATAATGCTGGTAAGTAAGTAGCTATAAAACTGACCGAGGCTTTAGTAATTTCGGACGATTTTTCACAAGCAGACTAATATATAGAGCTAGCTGTTTACAAAGTAATGGTTAGCCATACAAACAAAGTGGCTAGATCACTGGTGAGGTTTTCGGTGCAGTAGGTTTCAACACGTTATTATTCGTGTCTTGTTTTACAAACAGTTAACAAGACAACTTAGGGAATCAAGGATGCTTCAATGGAAAGCTAAACTTGTATTATCAGCAACCTAGTCGTGGTGCACCAAAACTAATGTGGAAAGAGGAGGTGCTTATATTGCTCAGGCAGCCGTAGTTTGGGTCCTATAAGTGCTTGAGAGGGGAGCCCTTGGATTAGTATTTTCTATACGACGATGGAACTCGGCAACTGGAAATAAGCTAAGTGAAAGTCAAGTGAGAAAAAATTGCAGGAGATAGTTTGTGACAGGAAATAGTGTATAGAATGAAGCGAAAAAACAAGGAGATGAATTTATGGTCGATAACCTATAGAGTTTCGCCTATATTGAGTAAATGGTCTGCAGCAATATGTGAGTCTGTGTTGCATTGTGACTACACCTACTTGTCGTTGATATTTCGACAGACATATTACGCGAAAGCACTTGCATGCTGCCAGTGCTTGTTCAAGAACATAGATGGATGATAATAATTTTAGTCAATTAGTTATTTTTACCAACTGAGCTAGTCAGTTAAGTTCCAATACTAATCAATGTAGGGATAAAACGGCAAATGCTCACAGTGACTGACAAACTTATGAGATGAAGACAAATAAAAAAATTAAGTACAGAATCTAATAACAAAAACAATGATGACAACATGCCGCATTATTTAAAGTCTCGCTTACCACTGTAGATCTTCAACGTAAGTGATCAATGTCGAATGAAAGGATACCTACTCGAGTTGAACGTGAATGGTGTGATTGACTAGCTGACGTTCAAGTCACTTACTTACTTACTTACTTTCGCCTGTTACTCCCAATGGAGCATAGGCCGCCG